TGACTGCTGCTGCGGCCATTTGTGGTAGCAATGGGACATCTTGACGCGGATTTTTCCAAATGCTTCTCTTAGCACCTGTTTCAATGCATCAAAACATGCACACTTTATCAGACACACAGGCAGGTTCCGCGACTTCGACTCCTCTCATGTTTGCTTGTGTTGTTATTTTCGTCCGGAGAACCCCCCGTCTGCAGCCACAAATGAGAAGGAACAGTGGGTCTCCCCACAGAGGGCTGGGGCTGAGTAGGGCCTATTATAAGAGGGTCTCATGAAGCCAGACAGTCAAGCTGACCAGGCCAATACCCAAGGAAAACATCGAACAAACATCTGGAAGTACTATCACCGGAAGACACTCGCAAAATCCAGCTCCATACATTGATTGACTCACCACATCTTACAACAATGCTGGTTAGCACATGTTTTCACTTAAGCCAAATGGCGAAGTTCCTTCCATAGTCTACTCATGAAAACAAATCACGCTGGTCTCTGGCCAGGAAGACCTATACAAGTTTTTAGATGATGAACCACTCTTCGCATGATTGGTGAGTTCTTTTTGACCTGTTGATGCATCCGCCGATCTCAGTCGCCTTGACCGGTCGCCTTGGAGACGGCAGTCCTGCATGTTCAGAGTTTTCGCGAAAATGGGTTTGCGCGTTGAGATGTGAGCGTTGAGAACATCTGGATCGTTTGTTTCAAGCATTCCACACTACATCGATGATCAATCTTGGTTCATACATCACAAGAATAGTGATTTCACACGCAAACCAGAGGCCAAATGTCCTTCATCAATGTATATCTTCCTCCAACTATGTATATTACCTGTGCTTGACAATCTTGAAGACAAAACACTTCTGTGGCTTAGCATCGCTGATCCGTTGGTGTCATCTTCTTTCGAGTCAAAGGCATTTGGGCCCATGTGACCCTGAGAGACCTTGGCTCTTTGCAGCAAAACCGTGTCGTGCGCGCATCGTGCCGTGGCATGTTTTGAGTCCTGGTCCTTCAACCTCTTCTGGCTCTGGCTCTGCCTGTCCCATGAGAAGGGCTTATTCGGGGCGGTGTATGTTCTTGTCCAGAAGGTTTGGGCCACAAATGTCTGGCCCATGCGCCGGTTGTTGCCTCCGTAACTTCCAAGTAAAGAGCCCTTCCTCGTGGTTGTTGCATCCCACAATCATCTTCTTCCACACACAAGTGCAAACCGTCTGCCACAAAAAACCATCCACTCCAGGTGAACTGTCACATGTCTTCGATTTGTTGTTTCCAGGACCCCTGTTTTTCACGAGTTGGTACTTGGAGTTCACCCCATCCCTCCGTGGAACTGGATGCCTCCATCTCATGCCGCAAGCACTCCAAGGAGCTTTCCATCTCCGACATCTCCTTTTGCAGCCCAGCGATCTGCCTGGCGTCACTGAACCAGTGGCATGGTCCTCTTGGAGACGAGGACTCCCAACAACGCCAACACATGACCAGGTTGCTCCAGTGAAGCGCCCAACACTTGCAACAAAGCTGAACATATCCAAAAACTGCAGCGGCATGCTTATGGTTTTTGAGGAGCCTATCGCCTCTGCTGGTTTAAGCCAAATTCCTAAAATGCATGACCGCTCTTCACTAAACTAGTCAATTGCACGTTTTGCTGGTTGCTCATATAGTTCATTCTGCCTCTTTCAATGTCCATATATGTCCATATCCCACCACTCCGAAAAGAAAAGAACAAACATTTTTGACGCCACATCTCGGGTAAACCAACCCCGCAAATGCCAGCTTCGACTACATTCGACAGCCCGCCTAAGGACCTGCCTGGGGGTCAAGTCGTCCTGCTACACAAGCTGCTGTGCTGCTGTGAAATCATTGGACCCCTGTTGATCAAAACAAGGTTCTTCGGACCACGTGATAAGTGATAACTCAGGGTTACAATGGTCTTGGAGACTTGGCAAAAAGATCCGTAGAGCCACTGTGAACAAAGCAACAAGCATCTCATGTGAACATCTGTGAACAAGTTTGCATCATGAGCACGAGCTTCATGAGCACTATATAATCCGGTCAAGCTTGCAACATCTTACCAGCAATCATGGCCACTACATGATAAGATGGTTTTATGAGCTCTTACTAATGAGCTCTTACTCTTACTAAATCGTTTGACCTTTCATCATGGCCATTACGTGGTTTTAATGTTGCAACGATTTTCGCAAAGAGATGTTTTTTTCGACCCGATTCGGGTCAACTGGTCGAATTGGTGCCCCGGTCGGCTCCCTGAGTCTGACATACTCACCTGGCTTGGCCAATGATCTTCCCAGTGGAATCAACTCTCAAAATCAAAAAAGCTTCCATCCTGAACATTCCTCCTGTGTTTTGAAGCCACGTCTTCTCTCATTGGTTTGAAGCCACGCCCAAGCATGCCCGGCTGCCCAACCTCCTTCGCCAACGACTCCGAAGCCGGCTTTCCTCGGGGAAGTGAACATGTGATGAGATGGAGCTCTGCATGGCTGAAGCCACCGTTGGGGCGGCCACAACAATGGCTCAACCTGGCTCAACACCTCGTACTGAGTCACACAAATCCCACAAACATGGCAGAGTCCAAACCTCTCTCAACTGGAAAATGGAGTCAAAGCGGAGTCAAAATCGTGGAGTCCATGGCATCGTGGAGTATCTGGACCCGACCCAACCCGACCCGACCGCCACTGGTCGCCACACCCGGGGATCCGACCGCGGCGTGGCGACCTCAGCGGATGGATCCTGCTAAGGAACTGACCAAATCCAAGTGGGCATGAAACCAAGGGTGAACTCCAACTGTGGGTCATCTGAGTCTTATTATATGTCATATATGTATATTAAGTAATATAGCTAAATAAAAAAAAAATATATATATATATATTATAGCTATATATATAGTATGATTGTATGTCGTCCGTCCTATACTCACTCTTGAGATGCTTGTGGTGGCATCTAATTACTGTACTGGATTTAGGTCTGCCAAACTGTTCTGTGGACGCTGACACCGAACAGCACTCACCATGTTTGGTGTCAACATGCTGTCCTATGACGTCGTATGAACTGACCACATCGCCAGTAAACTCGCATCCCAACAACATCATGGTTGGACAATCGAAGGGACATTCTCTGATGGATGTACTTTCCGCATCTTTACACAGAACACGAGTGGCATGTGCAGCCTGAACTAAGCAAGATTCTGAGAAGGATGTCAGCAGATTGGGGAAAAGGAATGCTATGGTCAATTGCATCACCCACACACTTGCCCCAAATGCGGCGTCTTTGGGCTACAGGCTCCTACAGGAGAACATCGACATCAAATGGCTGCGGAGAAGCTGCTTTTCTCCCCACGTGATGCACATCTCTGACCAGCTCTTGCCTCCCCATCTAGTCAAGCTCGTTAGCTCCAGCGTCTAGCGATCTGAAGAACATGTCATGGACATTCGATGATCTCTCCATCACGAAACATGCACGAATGGTTTGGTTCGCCACAAGTTACCGAACATTCCGAGTCTAAAAAGGCCAATCTTCATCTATTCCCTCCGTAAACAGATGTCATTCGTCACTTTTTCGACAGGTGTTAAATCAGTTCAATCCCCGCAAGCATTGTTTTAGGATGTTTTAGGAGATTCTTTCATGAATCATCATCTTCAGATTCATGATGTTATTTCCTATCAACCTCAATGATGCCTGGGCCGAGCAGGTTAAACCTGTGCTTCATGGCTGGTCTCTACATGGCTGGTCTCCAATAGTGCCCCGCTGTCTCCAATAGCTCTGGCGGAAGCCATAGCAAAAGTAGAGGAGTGGGTAGGAAAACCTTAGTTCTGCAGTAGATTGTTTGAAAAGAACCTTTTTTGGTGCAAAAAATGATAGTTGCTGTGGAATCTTCTCAATTTGTCGCCTTCCTTGACTTGACTCTCTCATCTTTCGCATCTTCTGGCGATTCTCAGAGGCATACAGCTGGAGTCAATTGACGGGGCCCCCTTGCAATCCATCGGAAATGTAGCTCCACTGCCATGACGATGGATGTTTGGAATGCTATGAGGCAAATTGAAGATCAAAACTAAAACAGACTAGCTGGTTGACCTCTCAAGTTTTCCTTAGGGCATCGCTACAAGGAGCAAAGACGCTACTAGTAGCTCCTGGCATTACTGCTAGTAACAAGAAGCTACTAGGAGCAAGGACATCGCTACTAATACTAAAAACAAAGGGCATTACTACTAGTAGCATTCTTGCTACTAGTAACAAGAAGCTACTAGTTAGTGTTTCCTTCACTTCATCGCCACTTCAGGGGATCCCATGTCGTGTGACCGGAGCGGTGGTGAGACCAAGTGGACGCGCCGTCTGCAGCGCAGTCTGCGCCGGACTCCATCACGTGGCACAGTATTGCTACTTTCAGGGATCTATCCATCCACTTGGGCTGCTCAAGAAGGAAGTAAAAACCAACAAACGAGATGGGGCAACCATCAACAGCAAGATATTACCTGCATTTACCTGCGATGGGTTTGGGTCTTCAGCCAATGGATTCTGGGATTGCCTTGATGGGTGAAGAATCCGTCAGTATTTGGGTATAACACATGTTACGAATGAAGAAAAACCTGTTCAAATATGATCGACATGCAGCCCATAACCCTTGAATCCCCTGGAGTAAAACTACATTGCTTCTCTAGTCCCACCTTTCAACTGTAAACAGTTGTATTACATTGCAGCCTCGCCAAACATTAAATACATTGGGGTTGCAAGGACTCTTTAAGTTGCTCACACGCAAAACAATGATGTCCGACCCCATTCAGTGCCATTCAATGTTCTCCATGGATGCCTCAGAGAGATATGCTGTGGTTACACATCCCACCCTATAAAATCTTAAAATAATGGTCTGTCATAGCATGTCATAGCCGTTGAGTTTCAAACACGTTCTACCCCATCAGCCAGTCTTTTTGAGTCTAAGCATGTTCTTTCTTCCTGAACCTGTGATGAGTCCATCCCCAAGCGAAAAGGGTGGAACCCGATTCGCCTCACATGTAGCAAACCTCAGCTGTGCTCAGCTCACTGCATGTCCAACATCCGACCCGAAAACCGTGCAAACCGCTACGCGTCCCCGGCCCGGCCTCGCCGTCGCGTTTCACGCGATGCCAACGAGAAACAGGTAGGGTCCACGCTGCTTTGGAAAACTCAAACACCATCTAGAGTCTACCCCTGAAGGTGCTACAGGACTGTAACGTGGACACCAAACAAATCCCAAGGCTCAACAAAGAACTGGTGGGTGAGGTGGGTGTGTATTTTAGGGAGACCACCAACCAAAGGGTTTGGCTTCGTCTATTTCCCGAACCTTCCAGGGGGTCGTTGCCGGGGGTCGGTCTCCCCAGTTGAGCTACACACCAACATGCACCCATTCTGGCCCATACATGCACCACATGCACCCATCGTTGCCAGGAATCGGTCACCCAGACCGCCAGTTTGGAGACTTTTCGAGTTCCAACACCCTTTTTCGCACCTGAAAGACGACCGTCCTGGCTTTCATGTCTAAGATCAGCACCTTTCGGAGGCTTTTGCTCTCGGTAATCACCACAGTACCGTCCTGGCCCATCAACAAAACGGTCGTTGGCGGGGTTGAAAAGAAACAACGCGTTCTTCGCAGCTCCACTCTCAACGACTCAACAACCCAGATTCTTCCATGATCAGCATGTCTCTCCTTCCACAAAATCGGATGCTCAGGTTGAGCAAAGAAGGAGTCGGTCGCAGGATCAGACCCTACTTTGTACTATTGGGTTCCAAGGGGTGCATCCAAAGAAGGTTTGCCAAGTGCTGCAGGAGGGCTGAGCACCCTGCTGGCACCTGGAGCCCTTCAGGTCTGTCATGTTGACAGGATTTGTTGCGCGGGATGCTTGAGGTTTGAACCCTATAGTGTCACCGGCAAGATCCGGTAAGTCACTAGAGGGGATGTCATCATTGATGTTATCATATGATATGGCTTCTTGCCCAGTACTCAGTGTGAGCAAAAACAAGCAAAAGAAGCGCTAAACTTCATGTTGAAAGGATCCAAATTTCTGGCGTCTGTCAATCGGGGAGTCTGTAAAAGCCTCTTTGCCAATACGGATAGGCAGGGCTTCGTCGTCGTCCACCTGCTACATTTCACACTTTTGACCCGCAGTCTATGCAAGATGCGAACACGAAGCGGGCGAAGCAGGCGAAGCGGGCGAAGCGAGCGAAGCGGGCGAAGCGGGCGAAGCGGGCGAAGCGGGCGAAGCGGGACCAGTCGACTGATCCACACAGTGGGACCGTCGTTCCCAAAGCGGTGCCGACCGTTTGTGCCTTCCGTGTGGTCTTGCGCTTCTGCTCAGACATTACCTGGCAGACCGGTGTGCGAAAACCATGTGGTTTCCCACGACAGGAACCTCAGGTGAAGTGCATCCAGGCAAAACGTATCAAAAATAAAACTAAACCCCGGTCCCCTCCAAAGACAGTCATCTGCCAGGTGTGTGATCCATTTTCCATTGGGCAGCAAGCTTGAAGCTGCTGGAATCAGAGGACATCAGTGCATCTACAGCATCATTGACAAGACTTCATTGTGAGAAGCCGGGTCATCCTAAACTGAAACCCGCCGACAAAGCCATCATTACGGATGCTGATGACACGACCTGGTGCTGACAACATCATCTACACTACAACTACATGACCTGAATTTAGCCTGGCGATGCCAGTTGCAGCTGCGGGGAAGAAAGCCTATGTAACCCTAACAAACAGAGGTTTCTCATCGGTTTCTCATTGCTATCATTGCTCGTCCTTCGCTAGTCGTTCGAATGTGCTTCTCCCCGGGTTCGCTTCGCCACCAGGTCGTTCATACGGCACCTTGGTCTCCACATGAGCATTGTTGTGGGCCTCAAGACGACACCGACAAAGGCACGTCCGGACAAAAGCATGCCCAGGTAAATCAGTCCCTCTCTCTCTCTCTCTCTCAGAAGAAAAAAGACACCATCGGTATCGGTGAACTCGTCTCGGCTCATTTGCATTCACAAAGGATTTAGATATGTCGACCAACATTGGATGAAGATTCACAGGAAACAGGACTACGGGTGTGAGCCGTGCGAGCCACTTGGGTGTGGATCAAAACCGGACCGACCACCGATGAACGAGGATGAGCATGAGGCACCCATACTGGCACCCATGTATTCTGTTCATGCTTGAGGTGCCCATGAGAGGTCTCAAGTTTGGTCGAAAAGCCAGATTATTCTCCACAGCGACAAACTTTGGAAGATATCATTAGGTCCTGCAAAGAGCTTTAGAGATCGCTCTAGAGCTTCGGCTTCCCTGAACTTCCAAATAGATTTCATACATATACTACAGTAGTGTCTATGACTTCGGACTGGGTTGCCAGGCATGGAAGACCCGCTGCTCCTTCACCGACTTCTTGCTGTGGGTGACACTGCCATCAGCGCCTGAAAAGGCAGGCCATTTAGCATCATGTAATGTATACAGGACATGATCAGACATATGATATACAGCATCAAAAAATGCAGAGCTTCGCACCCAAAGAGTGTTTGGTGTGGATCTCACCTCCAGAAATGAATCAACCTGAGGTCCATTCTCTTGACAATTCGCCAAAGTTCACCGATCGCGGTGGTGGGGTTGCTTTGTAACGCTGCTGAAACCATCTGAACTCAAGCAGAACCTCTTCGTAGACTTCTGGAGGACGAGGTGCCACGAAACAACTTGGCGTCTTCAAGTCCCAGTCTTTCTGAGATGTGTTTCTTTCCAGACAGTTAAGGACTAAAAATTACAGTATCAAGTCCACATGGTGTGGAAAGTGAGTTGTTCGTTGAAGCAACAAAAGATACAAAAAGAGAGGACATGCTCCTGCCATCTCCTGCCCATCCAAACAAAATAGGCATAGGACAACCCTTCACAAACTCCCCAAAGTAAGTGCCGGTACAAAAACTTGGTCCTTGGAAAACCTGCCAGTCCAATGGCTGCCAGGAAAAACCGTGTTTTGTGAAATGTCGCAGAGTTTGGGCCTTTAACAGTCGATGACAATGATGACATTGATTGTGTGATATTGAGCGTCTGTCATGTCGCCTCAGGTTCTCCACCGGTGGTGCTCTGTCACTGCCAGAGACATCCATCACGTCCTGCCTTTCTCCTCTGTTTAGGACCATGGAAAGCGGGTGTCTGGAAAGAGGGTGTTTGGTAGCAGGGGAAATAGACTGGATGAACCTGATTGGTGCAAACAACATTCAGTATTTGAACATGTCGTGATAAACCAACATATGCGAACATATTGTGAAACGTCCTTCCAACCAATGCGGCAAGGCGTTCCGGCCCAGCCTGAGGCCGTGGATGTCTGTTCTCGGCTGTTCTGCACGGCCTGGTCTCGGCGGTTCTCGACAGGACGGGACCCGATTCCAAACCCCGGACACCCTGGATCTACCAGGGTGTCGGGGTTCAGGCTTCCTTGAGAATCGTTTCACCTGTAGTAACTAAGAAGTAGGAGCAAGAAGCCACTGGGAACAAAGGGCATCGCTACTAGTTTCACTATGTTTCACGAAACACAAGTGTCTGTCTTCCTCCACCAGAGCCACTGGCCTTCAAGCCGCGCCCGCCGCCCCGGGCCACAGGCAAGGTGGAAAGGGCCTAGTCCCGGGATGTCCCGAGGGCGAGCAAAAGGTTGATCAGCCCCTGCTGGAAATCGATTCCGGGTGTTTTGATCTATGGATCCTGCCTTTGCCACCCGATGGTTGCCTTTGCCACCTTGGTCTACTCTTTGAGGATTCTTCCCAATCGTGTAGTTCTACGCTTCTGTTATTTGAGTCAGTCCATCAATGTTCCGGACGTTCATCAACTTCGAAGTCTCCAATACCCGTACATAAGGAGACGTCTGGCGCTGGCCTCTGTCGTCTCTAGTTCAGTAATGAGTCTCCTTCTTGCCAGGATGTATGTCTGTCCATGAAAACACCGTGTTCTTCCACCAAGACAGACATGTCTGACCTCCTAGTTCCTAGTGTCCACCAACCTGCATTGGGCTGTCTCAAACGATCTCTATAGCTTCCTTCGCAGTGGTGGTCTCCCAGCAAGGTCCAGGTTTCAAGACCACACCTGCGAACGACCCGTGGAGGCTATATAGCTTCGAGGCTTACCCTGTTCATGCAGTAAGATTGCCAATGACAGTATTACTTCAAAGTACGCCGATCGCTGGTTGGATCGGAGACTAAGTCTATGCATCATTCTTAGAAGTCGCTGCGGTGAATCTTTACGCCATAGTGAAGAATAACATTTGTGTCGAAGAAACAGTTTGACCGAGATTGGCATTGACCTTCTGAAATGCTTTGTGTGTAGTTCACTTTTGGCCCTCCTACCGTGTCTTAGACCGGTGTATTAGGCTTGGCATGGCGGCATGGCTTGGCGGCATTTGTGTTTCATGGGCGCACGTATCTGTGAGGCGTTGTTTGTGGTACCTATCTTCCCCCTAGCAAGATACGAGCAAGGGCTGTGACGGGCGGGAGCAGGACCGTGAGTTGAGTTTGGGGCATGTATTACTACTGTATACCTTTTGCGCGAAGTGTGACTTTCAGGACATATGGTTTGTGATTGCTCGTGACTTGGCGGAGGACTGACTTTTCCAAGGTGTTTGAGGCTTCTCACTGAACCAATCATCCAATCCAAATTAAGTTCGCCGCCACCGGTTTCATCCTCCATCTTCGCTGGGGTCTGGATCAAGACTAGAGGCACGACGATACTACTTACCTTTTCCCTTTGCCATGCTATCAGAGGGTCAGTCTGTGCTTGCTAGCCTACTATACTCTATATACATCTACCCTCCGCTTCCAAACCCTATAAAAAGAACGGGTCTGATCCGATACCTCGGGTCTTGGTGATGGCACCATGCAAACATCGGGTTTTCATCGAAAACCCCGGGTTTTCCTGTACACCCTTTCTTTTGGTATTCCAGGAGGGTTCAGTTTGTTTGGAGGTTGCAGTGGATAAACATTTCAACCCTTCGTCAGGTGCGTCATGGCTCGTGTCACATGTGAGCGCAGGACATCGAGGAGATTAGGTCTTTCATCTTGGATTTCAACATTTCAAGGAAACACTAGCCAATGTCGGAACTTCCCCCGAAGACATGTTCATCCCTCAAGCTGGAGACTTCAACCAAACATGATACCATCGTCACACGATGCTTGGAAACTTGGGCACTCACACTCTCCTCGGAGCTGCCCGCTGGCGCGATCCTTTTTTCAGCAGAGCCGGGAGCTTGGTCGCCACTCGAGTCCTGCAAGATCCGTGAGTGGACTGACGTGAAAAGTAGCAACCCTCGAAGAAGCTGCATACAATATCCATGTGGCATATATGTGTGTGGTTGCCAAGCAGTTTATTGAAGTTGATGAGTTTTCTAGCACCATTTTGGTTCAAATTTTTTGAGAGAGAACTCTCTCGGGGCTATAGAGCATCCAAGAGCCATGTCGTCTTCTGAAGCGAAACCAAAGCCAAAGGGAAGGCCGGTTCAGCCCAAAGAAATGCTAGACATAACAGGTGTCGGCAGCGAGTGGGATTCTTGTGAAGAAGTTAGGGATCGCATGAGGAAGGACGGGCTTTTGATGTCAGAAAAAGTGGTTGAAGACATCCCATCCTGCCTTGACGAGAAGTGTGTCTTGTGGCCATTCTTGGCACGGATGAGTTTGCTGCGCACACGTCCTATGCCAGATGTGGCCAGTTTGCGCGTGGAAATCCAGGAGTTTTTTTTGACGTGCAAAAGGCCTGCCACCAAGGACGATGAAGCTGAGATCATTCGTTTGTCCTGGAGGATTAGGAAGCTCTTGGGCTTCATCAAAATGAAGACCCGCCGCCACGAGGTTTCTACGGCGCCTTGTTTGGACTGGTTTGGAACAAAACTGGTTTCATTTTTGGGGAGGACGGTTGCTTCAAATTTCCATTCTGCACTTGAGGTGCCGGACTTCCAAGATATGTGCCTTGAGCTGGACCCTTCGCTTCAGGCTAGAACACTGGGATAATCTAACTCGACTGATCAAAAGCTTGGCTACAATGCGCAACCTCTTATTGTCTAACAACTGGCTTTCTTCTCAAATCACAGCCCTTTGCACGGAGGAGGTTGTGGATGCCATCAATGCCAGATTGAAGGCTCGCAAGGCTGCAAAGGACAGGTTTTTGTGGCGCATCGGCTTTTGAACAAAATATGAGATGTTTTGATGGAAAGCTGTTTGTTTCGGCTCTTTGGATCAATTCAACTAGCCTCTAGCTTCACACATCACGCAGGAGACGGGTGAAGCGGTCGATGACGAGGACGACTGGGATGAGGAGGGTGAAGAGTCAGAGGGGGGCAGTGAAAAGGGGGGCGATGAGGCGGAAAAGGAACCCGTTGAAAAGGGGTGCGATGAGGCGGAAAAGGAACCCGTTGAAGAGGGGGGCGATGAGGCGGAAAAGGAACCCGTTGAAGAGGGGGGCGGTGAGACGGCAGCAAAGGAACCCGTTGAACCTGTACCTATAGCCACAGAAACTGTTCCGGGCGATGGAGTGGACACACGACCGGCGGAACCTGCACCGTTGCCTCCACCTCCTGATCCAGTCGCGAAGAATGAAACGAGCAGCCAGACTTATTGCTTATGTTTCTTGTTGCTTCCTTCAGATCTCAAGTGTGAGAGAAATGTCGCTTATGAGTTATCCGGTTGCTCAGGTATTAAATCTGATTTGCTGAAGCGCAAAGCTGAAGTAGAAGAAAAATTGAAGAAGCCATTGGGATCGCATTGCGTGATAACAATGTTTCACAACGCTGATTCAACTTACTTGTCACCCTTTGAGCCTATGGCGTTCTCTGATAGCCTTTGGTATCTGAGGTTGAGAGAGAAGATTCACGCCGATGCCCAGATGGCCTTGGAGCAGAAGTCTGCTGCAGCCCACCCCAAAGTTCCAGAACAAAAATCTCCGGATACTCCGTCGCTGGCAAGCCCTGCGCCCCACATCTCTGCTTCTGCAGTTGCAGGCTTGCGAAATGTTGCATATTGGTTGGCATGCGTGTACATAATGTGGTTTTCTGTTTGTTGTTTTCCTTGTTGGAGGCCAGTCAAGTGATGACACACTTCCGTATGAACCTGCGGCAGTTGAGCTTCCGGACAGTCTACCACCAACATCGTCTCCGGCCAAGACTGCAGAGGAACGTCGTGCGGCTTACCAGGGTGCTGGTGAGTTAGGCTCAGAAACTGCAGTTCTTGGGGCGACCTCGGAACGTCCGGAAGATCCAAAAGATGCGGAACCATTCACGGAGAGTGATGAGGAGGCGGGAATGTTTCTTTTGCATATTGCGTCGTAAGTTTTGAGCAGCTTACTGATCGGGCCACTCACATGGCAGGAGAGACCTCCCGGACCGCTTGTCAGCAGGCAGGATCAACTTGATATGAAACCAGAAACAAAAGGGAAGGGCAAAGGTCGAGGAAGGGGCAAAGGTCGAGGAAGGGGCAAGGACAACAACCAGGAGAGTGCAAGGGCTGGCTCTGCTAAGCGTAAGCGCTCAAACGAGGCTGTTGGGGCAAAGGCTAAGCAGGCCAAACCTGCCGGCGACGAGTGGGATGATTGGGAAGCTTGGGTGCCTTGGGGGAGCGATGATGTTGAGTGGGATGGTTACTACTGGTGCCCAGAGTCTTCCAGGTGGTTGTGGGATAGCGTCGCGTATTGGGATGCACAAATGGCTAGGGATGAGTTGCAGGCTATGAGTGAAGAGGCCAATCCAAGGTTGAAGAGGCAGCGCATGAAACAAGCAGTGGAGGAAACCGACCCACCAGGTGCAAGTGCGAGTAAAAGGCAACGTCGCAGCAAAGAAGCACAGCCAACAACAACAGCAAAGCAAGCACGTACTACAGCAGCAAAAAGCAAGGCAGCAAAAGCAAAAGGCAAGACAGACAAGGAGCAGCCAGAGCAAGCAAGCCCCGACGCGACACAACAACCGAAGTTCATGAAGGAGATTTTGGCTGTCTTGCGAAACTTTGTCGGTGTCGATGAGTGTGATCAAAAAGCCGAACTCCAATCGCAAATATCAGATTGGCAGCACAAAACATGCAAGTTTGGCAATGTTTACTGGACACGTGGAACCTGTGGCCTGCATTGCTTGAAAGAAGGGAAGGACTTCGCTCATTTCTCTTGTCCGGTGAAAGAGCTGCCTTTGATGATCAAAATGGCTGCATCCTTTTCCGCAGCTATGATTACCGCCCCTTGGGTTGCGACAGAGTTGAAATCTCAAAAATGTTCATCGGGGGAGTTGGATATTCAAGTTGGTCGGTTACATTAGCTCAGGCCGCTCATGCAGATTCAATTGTGGCTAAATCTGGCAAGCGCAAGAACCTCCGGGACTATGAGGAGCTGCAGGATGTAATTGCGCGTGTGAAGGGGGCCTGTAAAGATGCTGCCCTCGAGTTCTCGAAAGAACAAGAGAAATCAACATGATTTCCTTACCGTTATCTTTTGCCATGCGCTTCACTGTTTGCCAGTTGCGTGCTGAGGGTTGCCAAGTTGCAAACAACTTGGCTTGGGGGTGCACGCAACCGCTGGCTTAGCACAGAAAAGCCGTTAATGGCAATTTGCGATGAATCTGGTGAATCAAGGTCACTTCCAAATAACCAAATATGTAAATGCATTGTTTGCACACAATGTACAACGTTAGCCTTGGAGTCGTGGTGGCCTCATGATCCCCGCACAACGGCGCTCAACCATCTTCTCAAAACTGTTGAACATCTCAGTGGTTATTATTGTGATGGTTTCCAAGCAAACTGTTCATGGCACATCGATTTGCGGAAGCAGCCGTGTGCAAGAAATGCTCAAGGAGCAGCTGCACATGCCAGGTTTAAAAGGCTATTGCTGAACGTTCTTTCCGACATGCGCGCGTTGGAGTTGGTTTGCGTTTTAGACTGCACTTTCTCTCTTCTTACCCAAGCCCTATCAACCTCTCACACCAACTTGCACTCTTTGATTCCTGTCCTGCCAAGGCGATGGCGAATGGGCAAAGGTGGGATCCGCCGCAAGAACCTGTGGCAAATCCGGGCACAGCAGCTATCGCTGAAGCGTACTCCCTGCCAGCTTACAAGCATTCAAAGTGTCAGATTCAGCTTCTCTAGGGTCTTCTGCATGTGCGCTGGACAATTTGGTATTTCCATACTTCCCGTCGCCGTATGATGTCCAAAAGAACTGGGGTAAACCTTCGGAGCAAAACATCACAAATTTGACATCAGTTCATCCTGCAACGCCCAAACCTTTGGAGCATGTTGGACTTGGACGCCCTGGTTTACCGCCTAAAAGTGCTTCGTGCACCAAAGGCCAGAGACCTGTGAATACGATTTGCGGTTCCTCTGGTTATCAACTCTAAAACTGGCAGGCCTTCGTGCTCTGCGTTCTGCTCTTGGTGTGGAGCTTTGACGTTCCACAGGCCGGCCGGCAAGTCCTGCTGTAAGGAGATCGTGTGTTTATCTCTTTGTCACCCCATTCTTTTGCAGGTGTATTCATGGATCGAGTATTTTGCCGGTGAAGGAAACCTCACAAAAGTTATGATGGCAGCCGACTATCGGTCAACCAGATTGGATTTGTTGGACAACATTCAGCCACCTCACCGGAATTCCAACTTTATGGATATGACCCACGGATCTGGCTTTGCGCTGCTTTGTTCAAACATGTTCCTTTTGTGCTGAAAGCTATAAGGGACCTGCAACCCTGATAGATTTTGTATGGGGCTGAGGCTTGCTATCTTATGTTTGCTTCGAACAGTACCTGGGCCTGGTGGATTTGCAACCCACTTCGGGATAAAGTGCTCCTCCTTCTCCAAGATGAATAGAGGTACGAGCCAGCGCTCAGCATGTTCCTCGAGCGGTTTTGGTGGCTACCAAAGCGTGCGGGTGGGAAACATGCTCCTTGAAAGGATACGGGCTGTGAATAAACAATGTATTAACATATTGAAGTATAATGATAGGTTTCTCCTGCCCTGGAGGACATGTTGTTTGATACTCCTTGCGACTGCGTTGGGTGGTGCTTGGAGCCTAGAGCAGCCATCCGGATCGCTACTAGAATTTTATCCAGTGTTCAGGGAAATGCTGGAGAGCATTTTCAATTGCGGAGGCGCACACGCGGTCGGAGTCCTAGATTTCAGGGAGGTGAGGAAATTGAAAGAACAACACCTGTCTTGATATAAACCAAGAAAGGCCGATCGAACTCAGGACACATTTTTTGGGCGCGACCTTTTTTCACCAGCATGACTTTCAAAACTTGGTTGAAAAGGGCGCGGCCAAAACATGTGTTTTCAGGATCATGATGTTGTTCTGTGATATGTTCATTGTTTGTGACCCCTTTGCTTCCCATCATTGGTGATCACAAACAGTTAACGTAACATATAATATGAGGTCTCAATGGTCCAGTGGTGGATGGCGCACTATTCCTCTGCTACTCCAAAGCGCCACTACGCTTACGGGAACAGTGAAGAGATTCTACGATTTGACAAGGGCAGGTTGGAGGGCTGGAAAGGCGATCCCCGCTGCAAGAAGACGACAGTTGACCGTTATCGTGATTCAACAGGAGCCGTTCGATACAAGGGGAATCGAAACCTACGTGGGACAGAGTTTCTAGGCTAGCATTTGGTGTTTCTTCAGCTCGTCATAGTCTGCTCAAGGGTATCTCTAGATTCCACAGGGCGGCTCCATTTCTGGCCTTCAATTTAAACACGCTCACTCAAACCACCCTTCCTATTGTGGATGACCTGTCCGTCTGCCGAGGGTGTATCCAGTCCCATTTGCTCGGCTAGTGGCTGACCTTGTGGAGGAGCACAAGGCCAAAGCGAAAGGCCAACCTGAGTGCCCCGATTCAGGTGTTTTTCCACCTGCTTTGGAGACGTTTCAGTCGGCGGGCTGGCATGAAAGCGAGCTCTGGGAATATGTAGACTTCACCCAACTGTTTGGATACTTGAGGGGCGGCACTCGCCTAAAGATCCCTGAAGAGTGGAGGCCAGTGATTCCCGGGGGGGCTGTGAAGAATAGCTATTGGTGGTCCCTTTGTTCTTCATATCCGACACCGATGCCTAACATTCGGCCGATTTACCGGTTGCTCTTAGATTTTGATCGGTTTGACAAAAAAAAGAAAGGGTCTAGATCAAACCCGTACTAAACCCATACTGAACCCATTATTTACCCATACTAACCCATTATTTGCGAACCAAAACCCCGGGTTTGTGTGAAAACCCCGGGTTTTCCAAACCCGTACTAAACCCGTACCGAACCCATTATTTACCCATACTAACCCATTAAAAAAAGTATGGGTTTGGACCACCCCCCGGAAGCACTTTTTGCATAACAATTAGTGCTCTTGCTTGGCTCCGAGCAAGATGCCGACAACCGTTGCGCTGGGAAGACTCAACATTGAGCGAGCGACGCGGTATCTTTGGACATGTTTTCTGCAATCATGAGCTTTGAACACCTGAAGTGTTTTTTTCATGCGCATGTTGCAGCAACTTTTTGACAAGTGAAGGCTGTAGCTTGAGTCTACTTGTAGAGATGTCACCTTCCAACCGGTGGAGTTGTGGAACTTTGGCGGATGGAGTCAAGCATGTTGAGACACTGGACGACGAGCATCAACTACAAATGGAACTGCAGGACGAGTCACACCACACACACGCTTTTGGAAGCCCCCGGGCGTTGATGTTTCAAGATGCCCGTCTCACTCCAGGAACTCCAGAACCAACTCACGTGTTTGGAGGCGGCTTCTCACGATGAACTGCAGCGACAGCTTTGTTAGAGTTGTCCCATCGTGAGCTAATTGCAAAACACTCCGTGTGTGTCTTGTTGAGAAGTGGCCTGGACACCCATTTTTTTAACACAAAAACATGCGTCCAGGACACTTGTGAAAACCCGTCCAAGTCCGCGCGCGCCGCATTCAGGCCGAGAACCACACAGACCCGAAGGCTGAGTCTCAAGAGACTGTGCCTGCCAAGCGCTTGGATATCGAACCGTGCCGCAGTCTTTTTTGTTTTTTGGTACAGTCGTAATAGTTGCCTGAGGCTTCAGAAGATGAGATCAAAGAAATGTTTGCTCTTTTCAAAGATCGTGCATTTCAGTTGCATTTTAGGCAAGGGTCACCATTCGCCCTTGGACTCTCACACTTGTGTCGAAAGCCTTTAAGGATGCTGGCACTGTTCCACTGGCAACTGCACCCGGGTGTGAGTCTTCAGAGATGAAAGATGTTGCAGGAGCCGCGCTTGTGGACGCAGCCGAACGGCCATCTATTGTAGACTTGGAAACCCCAGAGTCTCCCTCAAAGAAACCTAGCCTGACTTCTGCGCCCGGTTCTGTTGAGACACCACCGCCAACACCGGCCGAAGCACCGACCACCAGCCCGCCTGGCACTCCTGCAGCTGGAGCATCACGCAAGGCAGCGCTGTCTCATGTCCTGAGACGAGATATGCATGTGCATGGTTATACCTTGCTTGATGCGATGTCTTTTCTAAACCACATGTGCACAGTGTAACTGTCATGCATACACCATCATACACCGTATACACGGCTGCAGGTCCAGCTCCGTTTGGCCAGCAAAGCACGACTCATGAGGTGGGTCAAACCGAAGTCCAAGCGTGCTAACATGGAGGCACCGGACTGGGTAAAGGCCGAGTGGGCAAAGGGGGACAAGAACGCTATTGCGGATTTGTATGTGCATTGCAACTTCAACCGCGAACCTTGCACGCAGAAACATTCCACACAAGAGTTGTGCATGGTTTTATGTATGGTTAATCTGGAGTCTGGGGTGTACACGGTGCAACGTCAGGAAGAGTTCCAAGCCCGGCTGACTATTGCAATCAAGAAAAAGCAGATCGTAGAGTTGACTGTCAATGAGGGCTGGTATTCAGTGAAAGAGATGCTCAATGACCTGAAGTGGTCTCAGTGATGGACTTATTTAATTCATGTTCACGGCACACGGTTGGAGATTGTTTCGGTTCAGCACGACCCAAATATTCCATCAGGACCAGAGTTGACGGCGCCGTCGCCCGCTGTCGCCAGCTCGGCGCATCTCACTGCCGGTGCTCCGAACTGCATGTATACTACTCTAACAAAAGAGTCACGTTTCAAACCATGTTTGTTGGCCTTGACCGATCCCAGCTCAGGAAGAACCAATATGATGGGGAGGAAGAGTTCTGGATTGTTATTCGCGAGACCGGTGTGAGACAAGAGCATCAAAGCTACGAGGAAACTCATGAGGAGGTTTCCAAGGCCACACTTATTACCTCCTGCACCGTGGGTTTGGAACCAATCCATTGTTTTGTCGGGCTTTGCTCTGCCACTGGGTCTCAAGTTCTGTTCTTTTTCACGCGCCTTTCCATGCAGGCTTCAGAGAAGCCCGAATTCAACATGGGCGGGGAGAAGTTCCAGGGTCTGACTGACATGATGAACCGCGCCGGAGCGGAGCGGTCTTCTGATAAGACACAGCCAGCACAACAATCCAAGCATGCCCAGGTAGGGGCTTGGTAGGAAACATGTGAACTTATCGTTGCTATGTTCAGTTTTTTTGACTCCGTGCCCTTTGCTAGACCAAAGAAGCTTTGAGAAAATTCAAAGACAGCATCATGGTGAAGAGCGGCAAGTTGCGTTCTTTGATCCGGGAACTCCAAACGAAGTTCAACACTGACGAAGCCAAGGAGTCCCTCTCCTAAATTTAAAATCAGAGCCAAGGTTCTCAAGGTGCAGTCTGTGTGCAAGAAACGCGAAATCCAGGTTCTCCTCTACCGCCGCGTCGGCCATCAGGTGCATCAGTTCCCTGAGGAAGGCCGTGGAGAGCGTCGACAAAGAGTTCGATCTGTGCAATGAAGTCTGGGTCAAGGGGGAGACCGAAGGCTTCTTTACAGAAAAGCTTCTGGGTTAAAAGAAACATAACTTAATTGCGGAGCGCTCAAACCCAAACAGGTGGTCTTAACAATCGCCAACGCAACCTTGAGGTTCTATGAGATGGCGGAAAAGCGGATGAGAGAAGGTACCATGACGTTCCTGCCTCACCTTCATGGGTTTTACCATAGCCTGTTGTTGAAGCTTCCCCGCAAAACTGTCAAGGTGCACCCGGGCAGCAGGCACCGAGCTGAAAGCAAGGACCGTGTTTTGATCAGCAAGATGCACTCACCCCTTTCACTCTTACTTTGGTGCATAGGGTCAAGAGCCATGATGCATATACAAAATAAAAATCCCAAGTATGGAGCCAAATTGTTATACCTTATGAATGCTGATGCACGGGCCTACTCGTAATATGACTACTCTCGTTTGCTGTTGCATGGCTACAGCCTTTGTGCACTAGGACCTCCAAGAAGTTCTTCACCAAGAAGTGTGAGGGATCTGAGGGTGGAAAACGTTCCAACAAGTCGAAGGATCGGGAACAAAAGGCTGCACCATCTTCGAAGAAGACGGAAAAGACCCCGAAGACTGGGGAAGCACAGCCGAAGAAAGCTCGAAAAGCATAAGTCTTTTGAACCGTTGTAGGCGGTTGTAGGTATGGTTGTTTTTGCTGCGAGCTGTAGTCCAGGCACTCACAGCTCTGACGTTGCCCAAAGAGAAGTCTAAGTAAGACAGATGTGTTTTAAGATGGTTTAAGTGTCTTCTTTCAAAGGTTTGCTTCTATGTTTGATTTGTTTTTGCAGGGCATATGAACTTTGCAGCGTTCTTGAAAGGGGTTTTTGATTGTGGTACTAGCCGCAATCACGCAGGCAATCGCTCGACTTGCACTGCTGGAACCATCTTTGAAGCCATGAGGGGAACAAAAAAACCGTTTGACCCGTCTTTGATTTGTGCCCGCTCTCTACTCGCTCTCTCGGCGCTATACGGCCAGGTCCCCGACCAGGCCGAGCTCTTCGTGGCTTTGCGAAGAGAGTTGGTCAAGGAGCCCGGGCCTCATCGGCTTCTGCAGCCTCTCCCAACAACAACAACAACAACAAAAACAACAACCTTGAGGCCTTGCCACCAGTTACCTGAAACATAGTTTTGGGGTGGGGTGGACTGAGCCATCTTGGTGAGCAAGACTTGAACTCTTGTTGAGGGACCCCCAAAACACAGAGAGAGAGAGAGAGACCAATCGTTTGGAATCCCTAGTTCGATTCTAAACATGGCAACGCCGTCAGTGTCCTGTTTTCTCTAACAGTTTCTGTAGAGAATGATGTGTTTGAGGTGGCTTAAGTCAATCAGGCTGGCCTGCGCCAGCATCGCTAGAAGCACCCTCGGTTGCCCACCATGGCAAGGGCCATCACCTCACCAATATTCACAAAGCACATCCTTTCAAAACTTAGTGCGCTGCCACTGGCAATTTCCCACTTGGATTGGGTCATGAAAAAAGACACCCGCAAGTCTGTTTGGCCCCTCCAAAATATAGTTTTTTTGCTATTGGTATAGGACTTGCGGGGGCCTTTTTTCAGGACCCAATCCAAGTGAATTTTTCCTCTTTACAATGCTGCAGTGGACATCGCAGCATGGACATATACATCGTATCACCATACGGATTTTGTGTTTGCATCACTGCTGCTTCTTCTACCCTGGGTTGAGAAACTCCTGGGTTGTGCTCCTTTCCTTTAGCTTGCTGGCCGAGGCTTCCTGCGTCTCAGCCATTGAGGCGGCCCGCGATGTGGTCGCGGACATAGGCCAAGAAGCAGCTAGCGCTTCGAGTGGACTGACAGATCTCGCGGGCTGCGGGATTACCAATTCCGAGCGCGATTGTCAACGTGTGTTTGCGAAGAAATACTCATTGTCAGTGCCAATTCCCTTTTCCTACCTGAAGACCGAGAGTGGGCAAGAGATTCCTTTGTTGAAGCTGCGCCACTGGGTTGAATATCTGGTGCGAAACTCATGCTGGCATATTCTTACGGGATTGGTGCGGCGGGACACTACACGTGAAGGGGACATTTTGGAAGCATTTTGGAGGACCTTCCGCCAAATAGAGCCTGATCATCCGATTTACGAGTTGGAGTCCCAAGGACGACTATCGTTTCGGAGAACTGCTCCACTTTGCTTGCATGGTGATGAAGGCCGTGGGCGTCGTAGAGAGGCCTTCATGATATTGTCATTTAGGTCCCTTCTGGGGCGGGGCCTGCACCCGGAAGCTAGAGTGGGCAAGAAGCTTGGGATAAAACGAAAGTGGTTGAAGCTGAAGCCAAACTTTCGGGGGCATAGCTTCACCTCACGGTATCTGTTCTCGGCAATGAGGAAGAGTGACTACGCCACAAAGGACACTGAGGGGAACTTCGACCTTGTGCTTCAAAAAGCTGCTGAGGAGGCTTGTTACATGTGCAACGTTGGAGTGATGGATGCGAGCGGCCAGAAGTACAACGCTGTCCTCCTGAACGTGATCGGCGATTGGCCGTTCCTCAAAAAATCTGGGCCATTTCAACGGTCGTTCATGAGCGTGCAGAAAAAGAAGACTACCAGGAATCCACCTGGTGGAGTGTGTCACCAGTGCTTGGCTGGTGTGGCTCCATGGGCTTGGGAGCAAATCGGCACCCGAAGGCCGGATTGGATTGCAACAGTCGCAACGCAGTCTCCGTTCGATGGTCCATCAGCTTTAGCTTCAGTGCCCCATGTTGCAAATCGTCTCGAGATGATGTGGGCATGGGATTGGTTTCATTGCTGGCACCTGGGTGTAGGCAAGTGCTTCCTGGCCAGCTCGATAGCACTGCTGAGCGAAAGGGAAAACGGGAGTTCAATCGATGAACGCTTTGCCAGCCTTACTGAGCGATATCATTCATGGTGCCGTGCAAATGGTCAGCGCCGTCAGGTTGTGAAGCTGAGTAAGGACCTGGTGGGCTGGCCGTCCACCAACGTCTTTCCTACAGGCATCTGGCATAAAGGCCAGCTCACTACCAGTTTGATGGCTTGGCTGGAAGCAGAGTGTTCCGCCAGCGACTTCAGCGATGACCCCTTCCTGCAGGCTGTGAGTGAGGCGAGCGGTGCAATTCAAAACTGCATCCGGCAGATGTATCACGAAGTGATCTTTCTCACACCTGCGAAGGCTGAGAGAATCGCAAATGAAGGCATGCGGTTTTTACGCCGCTACTTGAGCCTTGCAGATATGAGCAAAAGGTCGGGGCGGCTGTTGTTTGTTCTACAGCCGAAACATCATGCAGTCCATCACGTGATGGTGTCACTTTGGCAATCATCGCAAAAGAACCTTCCGTCCTTGAACCCACTCACTCTCAGTGTCCAACAAGATGAGGATTTCATAGGACGCGGCGCGCGTCTCTCTAGGAGAGTCACGGCTATGAGGCCGGCGCTCCAGCGCACTATGGAGCGGTATTTAATGTCGGTCTACCATGAATTTGAGAAGGCCGGATATATATTGCAGCCCTCGAGTTAAGGTGAACCCAGTGGTGAACCCCTTTTCTGAAAGCTTCAGCAGTATCAATAGACTGAAACACGTTGTTGTGATCTTGCCTTAGCTCAGGCCCGTGCTTCGTCTGTCGCGAGAACAGTGGCCCACCAGAGCAAAAAAATCTTGCGGCAGACCGTGCTTCTGATCAACGTCACTTCATCTCAAATGAGCAAACATCGGGTTTTCCTTCAAAACCTCGGGTTTTGCTGAGCACCCTTTATTTTTAAAGGTTTTAGAATGGTAAGGTATATACTATTTCACACCACTTTGAAACCGTCAGGCCAGACCGACTCCTCACGAATTCGGCCACTCCTTTCTTCCCCGTCACCCCGTCACCCCATCACCCCGATCCGATGGGCCCAGCTTGGGGGCGAGAGCCGGCCTCCTCGTCTCTGGGCCGCTTCCGATTCGGAGGCTCCTCCTGCGCGAGCGACGGACCGGAGGCGCCAGGTCCAAATCCGCGGGATTCGGAGGCAGTGAATCAGGTGCAGCTACCAATCTTTCGATGGTACATGGACCAAACCATGAGTTTGGAAGAATAGTGAATAGTGCATTCCTATAGGAATTAGGAAATGAGGTGCAGTGTTTTTCCAAAAGTACAGGGGTATTACGGTATAACTATATATATATATACTTATAGAATCCACAGTGAAATTGCCTCGTGCAAGGCGGCCAAAAGGTTTAATTAGCTGGCCTTTGATTGTAGGATCTGCCCATAATGAAGCACTTTGTATACCATGAATGCAACATGACTTACGCACACGGACGCAAACAGGTTTCAAGATACAGTGCTTCCTCACACAACCTAGTTTTTACTTATTACTCATTGCACCCTCTAATGCACCCCCCCTGGTATTCCTGATGTCTCCGTGTATTCCGTCTCTTTAAAGAAGACCATCCAACGAACCTCCCAACGACACGAAAGCCCGGGGTCTCCTCGGCGATCCGCTTCCCCATGGCTCCAAGCCCAAGCTTCTTCTCGAGCCCCAAAAAAGCGGCGTCGCGTGTGACTCGTGTGACTCGTGAAGCCCAGTATAGGTCCTCTTACCGCAGGTATCGGTGGTGTTGTGAAGGAAGTGATCGGAGCAGCGAACAACCAGTGAAAAGAAACAGAACACCAGTGAAAAAAAACTGAACATCAGCGAGAGAAAACATGAGAAAACACGGAAGACTGAAAACAATGAAACAACACGTTGCCAGATGTGGTGAGGTGGTGTGGTCTCACAGTTCAACAATGTTCAATCCGTCCCAACCAGTCCAGACACTCCCCTCGAGTCCCGGACGCATCACCTGGGAAGCATCAGTAACAAATGGAAGAAAGCAATCAAGCTGTCTCAGGAAGGTTTAGAATGGTTCAAACACCTAAATTATAGAAGAACATGGAGAACAGGACAACGTACTATGTCATACTACATGCTTTTCATCGAAGCTATTATAAGACGGCAGTGGACAAGGCCGCCGTAGTTCAACATGTCTGAATGCACCCAAATAGGTTTTGCGGCTTTATAATGGTTTGTGATTTCATGAAGCCCTCTGCGCGCGGTCACGGTCGAAGGGACTCCATGCGCCGAAACGACCAGCCTCGAGGAGACGTCTGAATGCTGTGCTCCGTGGAGGAACGCCTGTCAGTGTATGGTTGAGGCCCAGAATGGTCCAGAATGGTCCAGAGAGGCAGTCCACCAATTATATCCAAAATCATCCAAATCACACCAAAACCAGGTCCAGCAAGGTTTTGTCTGGAACAAGCAGGGTGGGGACCATGACCACAACAGGCAAAAGATTCCGACGTTCCGGACAGATGGTCCCAGGAACAGAACTTCACGGTTCATCCAAAAGCAAAGCACGTTTGGAGCCCAGAAAACCTGTCCAGTCGATGGTGACCTGCAGGTGGTGACCTGCAACAGATCGAAGAGGAGACTGGCAAAAGCCTTTTGGACTGCCTTTTGGAGAACCTTTGTTGAACAACCCATTCCTGTCTTTTCCTTGCAAGTGATAATCTCAGGAAACTGTGAAGAAAGTGTGAAGAGTCACTTGGTCTGTCTACAATAGCTTCCCTTCAGGCCCTCTTACCTACTGACCATCCTGCACACTGACGGACTTTTACGCTTGAGCCTGCATCGCGATGCGTGACTTATGAGCCACTGTGCCCATTGAACATGCGACTGGTGAGCCAATTATTTTTCTTGGCAGGAATTGGAATTCTTAAAACAAACCCACCTCCATAACAGTCTTAGTTACTTGGTTTGTCTGGCTGGTTCCTGATACGCATCTTTGTGCATATCCAATAGCCAACAGTCCATCATCGTTTCGATGAAGCTGTTCGTCACCGATATGACGCTGCTGCCAGCTCGGCGTCGATCTGTAGGCAACAAGGGTCGCATCCGTCACGGTGCGGGGGAAGCTAGTAGCTTCTGAAGCTACTCACCTCCACCTAATAACGATGGCCTCCACCCAATAGCAACAGGAATTGCCATCCAGTGAGAACATGAGACAACAAAAGCAAGGGCATCATGTGTTTCATCTAATTATCCAAGTTCCTTGAGAATGTTGGCTAACACCTGGCTTCAAGACACACCCTAAAGTTCGGGATATGTAAATTGCAATTCGGTCCTTTGGCCAATGCCTTACACTGAACTTGTAGTTCTCTGACCCGTAGATGAACGCCCAAATCAGACCGTAGCTGCCATGGCATGCCATTGCAAGCAATAATCAAGTATGGATTCCCTAAACTTCCGCCCCAGCTCCCCGCCCACGCTCGGGTAAGACGATGTTCTTCCACACGTGCTGGCAGTGCTGGCTTTGCAGGGGCATTCCTTTGGAGATAAGTTGGTTTGTACCGGTAGATCCCCAGTCCTAGTTAAGATCAGATGCTAGAATGTTGATCTGAAGCAACTACCCGACCTCTGTGTCATCCGATGATGTGTCTTCAAAGCAACTCTCTGTATAGTTTCATCTAGCCCTTGTTTGATATGACCCATGAGCGCCATCTGCAAAGTCACTTGCCAATACAGGCCACTGTCCCACTCTACCTTTGTACAAGGTGCAAAAGCAGAAAAATGCTGCCAACCACTCCAGCTGACAAAATGATGTCCAAGGTCTCGAGGTCGACTTGAGAGTTGCTCTAGCCAGCAAACATAGCAAGTTGGACTGCTTCAAATGGCCCCAAGCATGTCCAAGCAGCCATCCCTGGTCGTTTGACTCCAAACATCTATCCACCAAAAGACAAGGGAGGGCTGCTTTCTTGGAAAGGTTGACCGCAGTCGTGCTACGATGCAAAGTCAGTGTAAAGCCCTCAAACAAAACTCTCGTTTGCGGCTTTTGACCTTGTTGCCACAACTCAACGCTTGGACTACATGGCACATGAGGCTGTTGGAACACAAGCTGTTCCCTGCATAAGAAGAACCCACTGGGACAGCACGGCGCACTAACAAATCGGGCGCGTCCCACAGTAACTGGCAAAGGAATACGTAGATGAAACTCGCGTTTGAGGCTCGTTCCCAACGACTTCATGCATGCATCATCTACTGGTACCCCAACGACAAATCCCAGTAGAAGAACGCAAAGGCTCCGAAAGCTGAGCTGCAACCCACCCCGGCCTCCTTTTTTTTCCACACGTTGAATCACTTTGACACGTATGGTGGAGAAGTGGCGGGCTGACTTGGTGGAGAAGTGGAGGGCACTCTCAAACGATGAGCTCCAACTCTTCACGGGCTCCTGAGATTGAAAACACAAAGGAGAAACAACTCAAGACACACTTGGCAGCACATGATCAAGATCCTTTGTGATCCTGTACCCTAGCTGTCATAAATAAAACGCATCTGCACAATTCTGCACATGTTTACTTCTGGTAGAGGAACCGCTTGAAGTCAATGCAGTCACCTGCCCCAACATCCGTTCAGCTTGCCGCGCCTGGCTTCAAGCTGTCAGTCATCATCCAATCCAGTACACGGGCAGGTGACAGCAGCTTGCCTCAGAGACGAATCTTCGTCTCAAAAACCAGCAACTCTTGGATGCTCTTGACAGTTCATCTGTCATGTCAGGATTCAAAAACTAAACTTTCTCAAACCAAGCCACAAATCCTCGCCAAGGTAAACCTAATTGAACACTGAAAATTGTGATGTTCACGGCACCATGTCCAAACCACCCCTAATAGTAATCCGAGCCAAACACAAAGTTCAATCTCCCTACTTCAACACACAAGCATTGTCCTTTGTTTTGTTTGTTGTCTTGCCTTTTCTTTGGATGTCTTTGTACTCTTTCCTTTTGAAATATATATATATATGTCTTGTACTCTTTCCTTTGTACTGTTTCCTTTCGTTTTGTTGTCTTTGTCTACCCCCAGATGAGTTAGGAGTTGTGCCAATTCTGAGATGGGTTGCCTATTGCACAAGTCCTGACACATGTGTCTGAGAAAAGTTGACTGAAAACATTCAGGAGGCACATGAGATAGGAGTTATACTGGTCAACACGTTTATTTTGTGCAATCATGTAATGACGTTTTCGTCATTGATGCTCCATTTAAGTTACATTGTGGTTCATTTAATGCATTTGTCATAATAACGAGTCTCAGTCTCAGTTATTACTTAAAACAAACGCAATACAACTTATATTATTTGCTATGTTTGACTGTCCCCTTTGGAATACACAAATTCACAGAGATAAGCAAAGCTACCCTCGGCTGATCTTGATTTTGATGGTAGATGCATGATGAGATGGGCGTATGGGCGTTGTGAACACACTTGGAAACACGTGAGATGGCACTTCGAAATGTGCACAGTCATTTCACAAGTCCCAACTCACTAGTGCAGAGTGTAGCTTGTTCTTTTCCTGCTTTCTTCTGGCACTTATTCAAGATAACTTCCATGGGTCACGATTGCTAGGTTTCGTTTTAGATACATGCTTAGTTGGCTTACAAAGGGTATCCAACACAAAAGGCCTCAACTGACACCCCTTTATTAATTACGTTTGATACTTTGTATCAGGCCTTTCTTGCAGTTCCAAGTCTTTGCTGTGTTTTCTTTCTCAAACCCATTGATTCCGCCAAGCCATACCTACTGAACCTATCCATGACATTGTTTCATCTACCAGGACAACTCGTTTACCAAAGAAACATCCAGCGCCCACGTCATGGGGGTCGTTCGTTGCTTCCATGCGTCACAACAGACCGTAGTGATGAAAGGCACACCCTGGCCGCTCCAGTCCCTCGGTTTCCCTGAACCACTCTTTGTTCAGAAAAACAGCGGTTCGCGGCTGTCTAGGCCGTTTCTCACCTCAAGCCTCGGGCCTCCCAGCTTTTGACATGCATACACTCTCAAACACTTTGACGGAAATTTGATGAAACACATACTGGGGGCGGCATACTGGGCGACCAGACCGGTGCTGGATCACTCATGGATTCACAAAGAGAAAACACTTGGCTCTCCTCCTTACTGACCTCAATGTGCCACAAGAGCCACTTCTCCTGATGCCAGTCTATATATGCAAGTACGTTGAAGGCCAAAACAGAAGGCTGACTCCAGGTCGTAACAGCTTGGCATCATCCCCCGCTCTTGACACCCAAGCTACAGTAGTGAATACCAGGGCAAATCAGTGCATTCAGCTCTGTAAGCATTGCAGGGCTTTGCACTGACATGCAAGTCTTGTTCTCTTTCAAGAGAAGCCTTAGAGCATGCGAGATCTGTAGGCTGTTTGGTCCTTTGTGACCGATTGCCGATGGACAAAATCCTTCACTGGCAGAACAAGCCCATGAATACCCTCGCGTTCCCTCTTTAATACTGAGTTGAAATGTGTCATACAGTAAAAAAGTTGAATGACCAAAATCCAGCATTACACATAATTACCAAACATTTAAAAAATGAAACATTGAGTGGTGGGGGCGCGGGGGTCTGTGCTATATTTAGAAAACCACATGTGTTCATTTATTCATGCAGAATTTTGTCCATGAACAGTATGAGGGTAGGGCAAGAAAAATGCGACACCGAGATACCAATCCAAGACGCAGCAACCAGCTGGTAGGAAGATCAATTGTGAATTTCCCGCGGTCCATCTATTCCCCATGGCCATAACAATCGTGGGCTCATGGCTCCGGCATGAGAGCAGAATCTGAAGAATCTGGGCCATCATCTTGTTGATAATGACCAGCAAATTCTCCAAAAGTCACCTCTTTAGCCTAGCAACTAGGCGGAGGTAGTCTTATCTGGAGTTCACACCCATTGAGAAACTGGCCCAGCCCCGGCAGCACCTCCAATCCCTTGTGGCCAACCTCACACGAAATGGCCTGACTCTTTCATGCATCACTATATATACTATATAATATATATATATATAACCAGATAACATATAACACATACTTATATAACTATAAATTGTCTTGCGACATGAATCAACATCTTTCAATAGATTGAGAGTCCTCATGAGTGAGCCCCCCACGTTTCACTCGCACCCTCCAAACACCGCCAAGGAACCGGTCCTTGAACACCCAAACAGGGCCAGCCACCGACGGGGAATCGTCCAGAAAACACCAGGACCGTCCATGGGCGTTGTAGCGCCGCAAAGTACTGGAAAAAGCAAGCCTCAGAAAACCAAAGCAAAGGCCTGCGTGGCAGGAGAGAAAATTGTGAGGATGAGTGAACCAGATTCAATCAGAGGTCCACACTTTCAATGGCAGATTGTTTGAAAACGAATTGAGGTTTCGATTGATGTTGTTTTGTTTGGATCGCGAAGTAAGCACGTGCGTTTGGTTCTGCGAATGTGCCACAGCAAACTCCCACACGAATTGCGCCGGGCAGCGCCGGCACGGCAGGGTGAAACGGTCACCTTTGTCCCACTCTGGAAAGGTTGTGGTGGCTTGGCGCACCGCTTCGGCTTGGCTGTCTTTGATGGGATCTCGAAACTGACGTTTGCCAACCCCAAGGGGAGCAAGGAGGGGGGCATGTTCTTTCATGGGCAGCAGCAGTAGACTAACTTGGTCAGCATGTTATGTGTTTGCTCAGTCGCAGTCAGGACATCGGTAAATTCACTGGCGAACTAATGAGCCTCCCTCCATATTATGAGCATGAATCAACACAAAGGAAGGGCTTGCAAGGGAGTTGGTGTATGCCCACAACATACTCTTGCAGTTTTGACAGCTCACGTGTCTTCTGCAAAGTAGCCTGGACTCTGACAATGTACCCGTGGAACTCCCAAATGATTCTACTCTAAAGACTGATGGTGGCCATGCAACACCAACGCTGGCCCCAGCACTTGACAGCTGCGCTTCAAGACTGGCAAATAATCAACCAGTGAGGTGGGGAACACATTCTTGCGACTCTTGCAGCTTGCAGTCTCGATTCAACCCCGTACAGTCTCGATTATGGTGGCATTCCACATGTCACATCAGAAAAGTCCTAGCTCCAAAGCATCCAAAGTCCAAAGAGTCTGTTGTCAACTCATGCACGTCCCTGAGTTAAACACAACAAATAATCGATATGCACGGAAACAGCATGGGGGTCTGTCTCACATGGTTCGGACCAGGCTCAAGCCAAGGACGGGGCCTAAGCAGGCTTGCAACAGAGCTCTGAGCAATACCGGTTGCATCTTGTCTTGCGGGCTTTACTCAGTGAGCGAGACACTGCTGAATCATAAGAATATTTCAGCGAGCAATGACGAGGTGCCCACATATTGCAGTACTTGGCGCAATCATGCGCAATCCAAGTTCTTCTTTCTGGATATCTTGGCCGGAAATCGATGAAGAATTCCTTGCATGATGCTCTTCCTTCAAAAGAACTTCTTTGGCACACCGCACACCCTGTAGATTCACAGCTGAAACCTCAAGACCAAACGTCTGCCTATAGCGGTTTTGTTTCCAACTCAGGTCCGTGATTTCAGCACGACGGGGCCAGGCTGACTTGGGGGCTCAGTTCCCTCAGTGCTGTTAGGGCCAACGTGAAGGAGGCGGCCTCTCAAGTCGAATTGCGCCATTCTGAGCAAGTGAGACCGCCATGAGGCTGAACGAGTTTGTAAGCGCGGCGAAGGCCAAGGTGTTGAACTTCACTGACCACGAAAACAGTACAAGGCAAGTTTAGTTTAGTCTATTCAGCTATATGGCTGGCTTTGTCACAGCTTAAAATCCCTCACTGCTTGGTACTTGGTAGAAATCATGCATCCAACCATGCCAATGAAGACCTCGCCGTTGGGCCACCGCAATCGGCCCCACCATCCGTTCTTCACGGTTTTCCGAAAAGCGACCGAGCTGACCGAGCGCGGACGCTCGGCCGCTTCGTCACGTGACCGCTGCGGTCAGCGTCTGCACCGGACACCGACACGTGTCCGTTGAGGCGCTCTGACCGCAGTGACATGTTCAGGGCTGGAGTCTGACTTGTCTGGCTTGCAAAGAGCGGCTACGAACAGTCTCAAGAGCAGGATCCTGGGTGCTTCTTAGTTGAGGTTGATCTGGTGATTGCGGCCTGCACAGAAAAAGGGATGCTTAATGTTCAATCAAGGTAGCGCATATCTTTCTGTTTCTCTCTCTCTCAGAATGTGAGTGTATGTGTGTTTATCTCCCCTGCAGGAGTTGGTGAACCCTTGGCTTGCTTCGGCGTGCTTGTTTTCTGCAAGAAACCTCAACATGTTGCATGTTGGACTAGAGACCCTGTTGAAAGAAAGCATGTGTGATTGAAATGGAACGAATGTCTGTCTGCTTCCGGTAAAGAAACCGGACACAAACGGTGGCACCTTCTGCAATTTGTTCGAGCTTCGTCTGACCTGAGAACACAGGGGTTGTAGCCAAACGACCTATACTTCCTTTGCAAGCGGTCAAAGGCAAGTGGTCAAAGGTCCAAGATGTCTTTCTTTTTTTGGTGCGAGGATACGTCTTGTTTCGCCAAGAATGCCCGAGAAGGACAATTCAAATTTGCTTTAGGCCAAGAATACAGCACAGGCACTTGCCTTCGGGTGTACTTGGAACGACTGTGCTTGTGGGCCAGATGATGTCCATGTGTGGGGTGCTGCTCATTCCTTCTTATGTCAAGAAAGCTTGGATCAAAAGCCATGTATCGTCAAGGTGCAGCCACTTGTGTTTGCTTCTGTCTGGACCTCGCTCCTTTCCACAGGATAGAGTTGCTGAAGTCGTGCTGCAAGAGCTTCAAACAAAACGCATGTTCGTCCCAAAGCTTCAAGTGAATCCTTCGGATGAGCTGTGAATCCTTCAAGGAGGGAAATCGGAAAGCAAAGCCATTTGTGCAGCTAAAGCTTGATTCAGATCAGTGCATTGTCATTCACCTGTCCTTCGCGATACAGCCCCTTTCCCGCCACGTGTGCTAGGCTCCCTTCAGCAAGCAAAAAATGCACTCAGGCCAGGTTGGTGGCTAATGTATTCAGCCTATATTCAATAGCCCAACAACAGCTGTCCAGAAGATGTTGGCCCCGAGACCGGCTTCGATCCGATGCCGGGCCGGACCCATGCGTCCGATGCAGCCAGTGGCAAGCACAGCTGGCTTGGAACATCCGACCGACCTGGGTGAGTTCACATCTTGGGACCTAAATACCCCCCTGTTCTCAGGCAAACTGATCGAATTCGAGTGGCGACCTGCGGAGTCGCCTTCAACCCGGACCGGGCCACGTCCACCCCCAGCCCCTGCAGGCGTGAAGGGGATGACATCAGGTGTGAACAGGTGCAGTAAACCCACAACATTTGACCATTTCCGGCTGATCTAGCTTCGGGCTGAATTTGCATGGTGGAAGAAATTCAAAAGTGTGTTACGGCTTTGGTCCAAGCAATATCTGCAAATTGGGGTCGGCATTGCACCCTAAATCGTCCAAGCTTCAAAGCATCCAAAGTGCTAAGGGTCTGGTTGCCACTGAGGGATCTGAATTCAGCATGACAACAAATCGCTTTACATGGGACCAGCATTGAAGTCTGCCTCATTGGAACAGGACCAGACTCAAACCAAGGACGCAGCCTGAGCAGACTTGGGGCAGAATTGTACTCTGATCTGTCATGATCGTCTGTGGTCCAAGATCACGCCCTTGCAGGAGTCGAGCCCCAAAAAAACCTATGGCTTTCAAATTCCAACGTCTACTGAACAAACACGACCCCAAAAGAGCAGTGAGTGAAAGCGCAAAATAATTTTGAAGGCAAATGTACCAGCTTTGGTCAATGCAAGATCCGCAAATATCCGCAAGTCAGTGCACATGTCAAATAAGGCTAGCTTGATTGAGTCGACCACATTTGAAGGACGTCCACTTGTACGGTTACATGTATCTTGTATTCAGTGCCACAAGGGCTAGATGACCTGGATCCCGTTGTCAAGGAAAGCCTTGTGTTTTGGGACCATCATGGGAGTCCCTTTCAAGCTAAACGTGTTTCAGGCAAACAAAAGAAGTTTGGATGGGAAAGGGCGCTGGGTTTGAGTATACATTACATGGTCCGAAATTCGCATCAGCGCAGCAAAAGTCGGTGGCAGCGGAAACAGAATTCATATTTCGTGAGTCAATCAGCTTTGACCAAAGAGGCATCTGAGGAAGATCGGCAGGTAGCATGCTCTTTCATTGCGCGCAGCAAAAGTAGACTTGGTTAGCAGGTCTTGTTCTTTCCTTGTCGCAGTCAGGACATTGGTAAACTCATGGGCGAACCAATGAGCCTCCCTCCATACATACGCCCGGGTGAAGAGTACCCTGTTGTATGTTACAATGCCATGGAAACGCTTTACGGAGGTATTTTATCGAATACTGGTTTAAATCAATCAAGATTTTATTGCCCCTGCGCACAAAGACACAAGATTTATGTCAAAGTTTATAGCATTGGCGGGGCATATCTTGCCCACTAGCCCCTGCAAAAGGGGGAAGCTAAACCTGAACTATTTCTAGAGCTCCTATCAACAATCAACCACCATCGACTGAAATCGTATGTAAATATTCATTGATGTCTCTGAGAGAGGTCGACCGTATCTCTGGTTTGTTCCAATTGAGCGGCGGTTGGTCGCCTTCTTCGAGTCCCCAATGCTAAAAGTATTTTGCGTTGGCCCCTGTCAGTTTTCAGTGTTATGGAATGCAGTCATCAATTGCGCGGGGTTTTGATCAATTCAGACATATTCAAGGCTCATTACTAAAGTACATGTACGGAGGTTTTGTCGGATGCTGATGTGATGGGATGGGGGGACGCATAGTGATTAGCTTGAACTGCATGACAAACCACCATCTTCGATACTATGTGGTGTCTAGTCTACTATTCACTTCGTGGCAATGCTGCTGGTGCACCAAATGAGCATGATTCAAAACCTATCCAGAATTTTGTTCCAATGGATGCTCTTTCGCAACACTTTCGTGGCCTGCATGTTTGCGAAATTCTGTGCAAAACCACGTCACTTTCACAAGCGTTCACAAAAATATTGAATGGTTTGTTGTTTCTCTTAACTTGCTGGGTCTTCAGGGTCAGGAGCCTTTTGGGGCATTCATCTCATCAAACACTTAAATTGATGTTGCCATCGTTTTGTTGAAACACACAGAAATTACATCAAACGTGGTCCTCACATTTTCTCACTGCAGCACAAGAAAGCTGTCCCTTGAAAAGCTCAGTGGTAGGAGGTGTTGGGGCAGCTTCCTGTCGACACCTACAAAGTTGGGGCCTTCGACATCATCTTGCTACTTTTCCTCCGACAAACCAGGCAAAATCATTGGCTGTCAAGGCGGCCGCGTCTGCCACCAATTAACGGTGCTATGCTGTCCTCGTCTGACCTCAAATCCTATAAGAGTGCCAGGCTCCAACTACCCAGTGACTCGCAATACCAGCGTCCATATCCCCAAGTAGGTTGTCAAAATCCAAATAGTTGATGCATTCCTTTAATCTACCACCCTACTCTTGAGCCACAAGCTCCTCCACTACCATCTTGTGTCCAAGGCACTCCTCTGCCAGCTGCACGGCGCGCTTGTTCATCTCTTTACAGGGCAAATGATCCTCCAGCGCTTGCACCTGCCCATCCGAGGGTATAAACACCACCCGTGAGGTGTTTAGCGTGTGGAAATACAAATTGATACAAATTGCTTTCTGTTGCTGTTGTGGAGGCCTGGAATTCAGCGTGAACATCCACAAAGCTGAACGAAGACACCCATGTATCGATCAGCTGATCAAATCTCAGAAGCTGTTCATCCCCAACAGAATGTCGACACTCAGGGAAATAAGTGGCACAACATCTTGCGAAAATATGCGAAAATTACGATCTCTCAAACCAACAGCTGAGTCTCAAGCTCGACAGAAAACGGTAGAATGCCGCTTTCAGCGGGTAAATGTATAGGAGGAAGATTCTCTTCCCGTATGTTTAGTGTGTGCACTTGCTCACACTCTCAGGCATTGCAAACATCAACCCACAAATTTTAATGCAACAAGCTTCCCTGCAAGCAACATGGAGGTGCAACAGACCTGTTCGGTCGAAAAAGAGTGGTCTGTCAGTGTCAGTCTGCTTTCCATGTTCCACTTGTCCGCCAGAAGGAATGCACCCTCCAAAAAAACGAACCACCAAGCGTTCCACAGCAGTTCCATCAGCCCCTTGAACTCCAACCCCCAAAAAGAAATGGCTCGCCGGCCCACCGCGTCAGCTCGGCGCGCGGAGCGGTCAAGCTCCGGCGTCTCGGCTCGGGACGAAGACGGCCTTCAGCTTCTCTTCGATCCGTGTGGCGCTCACCATCTTGCAGCCAATCTCCAGGGCCGCGGTGATCTTTCCGGTGTTGCCTATAGTTCACCGGAGGGCGGAGGTCGGCTGCAACCGGAGGTTCGTTCCAGTCATATCTGGCCCACCTGCAATTCCGTGAGATTCGTGGGTGAGATTTCTTCTCTGGACCCTTGGTTTCCAAAGTCACAAACTTTTTGTAGACGGTACTTGACATGCCAAACAAACACCGTCAACTGCTTCCAACAAAGAAAAGACCGCCTTGTCCTAGCATGATGCCACAGTGTATGATATACCTGCCTGTGCGGAACACAAAACCCCGGGAGGCCCTGATCCTTGCAAGCCCAGTTCGCCCAAAAAGCCCTGCATCACACATTGCTACTAGCAGCTTCTTGCTACTACTAGTAGCGATGGCCTCCACCCTACTAGCTTCTTACTACTACTTCAAGAACCCTAAAGTTTACGCTTCTTGCTCTGTTCCAACATGACACTTGCGGTCTACAGCGGATCGGATTAACACGTCCATTTTGCGTGGCAGGTACAGCACGGTCAGATTTCCACACCCGTTTAAATTTATAATATTTATAAGGCTTTCAGGTGTGGAAATCTGACCGCAACTGAGGTGTCGACATGTTGCACGTAGGATTCTAAGGGGAAAGGGTTTGTGATGTTTTAGAAGTCAAGAAGCGCAACTTTTGGCACCCCAGTGTAATACATAGCTAATTGTTACTAGTAAGGCCAGGAGCGCCCCTAGTAGCGTCCTTGCTCCGTTCGTAGCGTTGCCCTTTGCTCCGTTCGTAGTTTCTTGCTACTTACGTTGCCCAACAGCGCCAGAAGTCTGAAGCCCATGTTCACTCCTCTTTTCCCCCTCGAATCCCGTCTCGTGAGTCGACACGTGTCTCGCTCGCGACCGGACCTCGGAGATCCGAGGCGCTGAGGTCCGGGTAGTAGTTGGTGTGACTACAGGATCTCACCGTAAGTCCCTGAGAGGCCTGTGGATGTCCGAGGCTGTGACTTTAGACGACGAAGAGTGTTTTGAGCGAAAGCGAGAAGGACTGGGGTTATGACGCTTTATGCTTGCAAGCCTGCTACAACCTCTTTTTGATATAATATAAACATATAATAGGTGTCCTAGAGTGAATCAGAAACACACCCTGCTTCAGCTGCTTCAGGGGAAAGGGAAGCAGGTTGCAGGAAAAAGTCAATGGTCATGGTGGATATGTCTGAGAATAGGGCAGACCCCGATGAGTGTACTGTCCTCTTTCCCAAAGGTGGACCTGGAGTCTTCAATACAACCTAAAAGAAAAGGAAAACACCATGGGAACTAAATTTACTTGTGGAAAACCCCCCAGAGAACTTTGTCCCCTCCAGAAGGGCTTGGTTCATTTCCTCTATTGCGCAGCTGACGTAATGCCCCTGCATCGCCTGCGTCCAGTTGGGATGGCAGTGCTCCAAGTTGGGCGAAGAGATGTGGAAGCCATCTAGGACCTGACAGGAAATGGATGTGGAGTCAAAATATGTAGACCCTCCCAACCCCACGTGTTTGTTCAAGCCCAAATCAGTGGGTGACAAATCATCTGTGGTCTCCCTGCACTTCAAGACAAAACCAAATATGTGTGGGGTCAAGATGAGAGGACAATCCTTATCTTACCAGCAGTTCAGCAACATCTGGGAGTCCTGGGAGGTTTGAAATGCTTGTCGGTCTAGAGCACTTGCAAAAGACACCACACCACCCTAGACCCTAGAGGTGCCTCCAACTTAGCCTCATCCTCCGCTTGGAGGCCGCTCAGTACACGCTGCGCCAGAGCGCAGAAGGGACTAGAGCCTCAGGGTGGCTCTAGTAGAGCTGTTTCACACGAAACCGGCGGTTTTCTGTTCGCTGCATTCTCATCCTCGTGGGGCGGAATATATATATATATATATATGATCATATTATAGTTGTAATCCTTTCCTTTCCTATTTCTTCTCGCGAATGCCTGGCCGTTTGGCTCCCGTTTTCGCACAGATACTTATAATTCCGAATGCCGAATGCCTGCAAACATTGTGTTCCTTCATAGGCAGCGGCATCTGGTAGTTCCACAACTTTACTGGAGTCTTGTCGGCGTTTGAGCGTAGACCTCTAGCAGCTAGCAGCTCTTGTATGATCAGTGAATTTGTCGACAAACTAAGGCAAACGGCAAACAGCCGGGATTAGCGACATAGAAGGCTTCAAAGGCATTCCAGCTGCATCCGGGCCCTCTAGAACACAAATGTTCAGTTTTGGTCACACATTGTACGGAACCTCATCTTCCTCATCTTCCGTCTTTTTCTTGTGCTTCACCGAGGAACCAGGTGGACAGCAAGATTGTACCAGCCCAGGTCGGGTGGAGTTGGACGCCCCTGACATCCCCTGACTCTGTATTTTTCATCCACTAATCCACGGACGCCACCCGAAATGGGTGTTGCTGTATATAGACCATCCAAAAACATCTACTAACGTAGTAACTTTCAATGGAGCACGAAAACCTCCCAAACACCCAGTTCAAATATCTTCAAATGGTGCCTTTTGAAAGCCCATCTCCCAACACCCGCCTTCGCTGCTCACCGAGTGGTTCTCATTCCTCTCCCAACTTTGGGCCTGAACTGCCGCGGACCACGGACGGTGGACGGACTGCATCCGTTCCGAACGCACACCTACGAACCGATGAATCCACTGAAAGTGTTCCTGGAACAAACATCCCAGACATTGACGCGCATGACACAAACTGCGCGATGCGTTTCAGCCATGGAAATTCTCTGACTCCATCTAACTTGAAACTCCCATCCCAAACAGCCGCGTCTGCAGTTCTGACCACCTGCCCCCTTCAAAGAGGTCTGCCCGACCTTCAGGTACGGCGTCATCAGCTTTTCAGTCCACTCGACTTGCTGCTGCAAAAGCTCAAGGGCCTGGGCTGCAGTTCAAATCCCGGTCACCAAAAGTCTTGTTCCAGGCCACCAACTCCGAGTCTGGTGTAAGTGAGCTGAAACAAGGTATTTGTTGGACGGACTTTGAATAGACATGTTCATGAAGACTCCTGAGATGGGTTTGATCTGGTTTGATCTGCCACCAACGCCACCAAGATCGGTGCACCAAACCGATGCCCTTATTGTTCACCAGGTGCCTCTCACATCACGATCATCTCCAAGCTGCACGTTGCGCAATTTGGCTGGAGGTCTTGGAGTCATGGAGCACTAGGAAGGCACTCACGCTTGAAGCGATCACACCTCACAGGGCTCAGGGACATGACCGACTCAATGACGAACGAACGACGAGGGCACCGGAAAACGCCACCCCGAAACAGCGTGGATGGAAGGCGCTGCTTCTTGAATGCGCCGTGCAGCACCGCCTGTCTCGGTGGGCTGAAGCATGTCGAAACGCCTGGATGGGGGACCATCAGACCCTTCCTTTCTGGAAACGAGGGAACGACATGCGGAGGTGGGTTCGCTGGCAATCCTCAAGGAAATAATCAGAACCCTCCTGCGAAAATACCCAGGGACAAACCTGCTATAGTGGTGGCAGGCAAATACCACATGAGGTTTCTGTTCGGCAAAAATAATACAAGAACACCATAGAAATCCATAGAACACCCTGCGTGGAATCCAGTCTAGTGGTGAAAAACACGCTGATCTCGGATGATTTGGCATGGACCGGTCAAATCATGATTTCAACTGAGGTGCTGGTGGCTTCTTCCTGAGGCACCTGGCAGCAGGTCACTGATTGTCCAACCATGGGACCATCTGTTTCCTCTGAAGAATCAAACATGCCTCAAAATCGATATTTTCAAGTTGGCCATGCTTGAAAAGGAGAGACCTTCATCGGGACAAAGAATCCATGTTCCCCAACAAGTCTTCGTTCAACCCTCCATTCAGTCGGGTAGAATGAACGGCCCTGTGGACCTCGGGACGTCTGTCCCCAGATGGCTTGGAAAGGCCCAGATGGCGCCACTCAAAAACCCAAAGCATGAATTCCCGCGACGAACACACCGACGTGGATCACCGAACAGATGTACGTGACGCGTCGCCACGCCTCTGCCATCAAGTCGCCCGGGACGTCGAAGCCAGGGCAGAAATTCGAGTGGTTCAGCTGGGGCAGAACCTGGGCAACTGACGCAGGTCATCGTCTTCGATATGGTCATAGTCTTGCATCTGACCCAAAATGGCATGTTGACGGACCCGATGGCATGGCCTAACCTGATCAACCTGGACACACACACACACACACATACAAACCAAGAAGATAACACCTCTGGATTACATCTGGGTTGCACGGTTTGAGCACTCCGAAGTCTTAAAAAGGTTTCAAGTGGGCCCAGCTCTTCAAATCATGTTCTGCTTTTGGTTTTCACCCTTTTGCGAGTAGGTTTTGGATTTGGTCCCAGAGCATGATCAATCTTCCCTCGAAAGCCAAGCCAACTTAAAGTGTCTTAAAGTAAACAACGCCACGTCAGCTCTCTCCCCACAGCGAAAAGAGGAACGCTTATGAAGGCTTGTGGCAAAGCAAAATAGTCGTCACAAGTCATGCCTCCTTGTTCTTCACTAGTTTCCATATGGATCCATGTGGCATACCACCCCAACGACTTTCGCAGTGTGTTTTCGAAGTCATCCCACATTTGCATTGTCTGAACGCTAGCGCCCATGAAACTTCGACGAAACTCCAGCGATGCGGCGTCGTGATACGCCACGCCCGGGCGCCGCACCCCACACCAGTGCAGCGTGGTAGCAATCACTGGCTTGGATCGGACAGGATCGCCAGAGCTCCTGGCAGGTGGAAGTATTGTCAAAAATGCACGTTCTTTGGAAGCCAATTTGAACTGTGCGTTTAGCTTATGTTGGAACGCAAATTGGGGTGCAACTGGTGAGCCGTGGTTCTGTTTGGAGACCTCTTTACATCAGGAAAACCCTGTGACAAGCCCTTTCAGTCCAAGCCCTTTCAGTTGATTCTGTCCACAGGCGCCCATCCACCGGGGTTCAGCTGATTCCTGGCGACCAACCAGTGACACCGTCGCGGCGCCTCAGCGTCAGGAACTGGCGCCACCAGGTGGAGATCTTCCCCGGCCGCGCGAGGCCTCCGTCCAGCTCCACGTTCAGCGAGAGCACCTGGACGAAGATGAGAAAAGGGACAGTTTTCAGCTAGATTTTGAAGTTCACAGACATGACACGGATATTGATAGTATCATCATGTATAATAGAGTGTATGTAACTGTATGCATGTCATCTACTATGTCGTCCTCAATCCCCCTGATCATCCTGCCATACCGAACCGTGAGGCCACGACGTCCCTGTCCGTGTCACGTCCACCGCACCGTCCGTCCGGCCGTCCGTTTTCGGCGCGGACGACCGCGGCGAGGAGCCGGCACGGGATAGTGGATCAAGTCGAACTCTCCTGGGCAGTTTTTTGGGACGAAGCGCGACGAAGCGGTTTTGGCGGCTTTTGGGGCGGTTTTTGGGCGGGTTTTGGGGCGGTTTTGGAGCGGTGTTTGCGACGTCAGCGGTTGTTGGCAGTTTTTTGGCGGTTGTAGCGAACCGGACGCGGAACCGGACGCAGAAGCGGATGCGGAGTCAAGCGATGGAACATCGCAAAATTCACGATAGGTGATTTGAGGAAGGAGGATAAGATGAAGCAACCCGAAGGTATCAACAGTTTCTTTCCTCTGAGGTTCAGTGTATCTTCTTGTTGAGTGGGTTTAGTGACTCTGATGTCCGCAGGTTGGAAACCCGACGCAAAGGTTTCCAACGGCGATCACCGGAACAGATTTCATCCTGGGTAGGGTAGATGTTCTGACTTGGCGAACGATGAACGAGTGGAGGTGGGCACTGGCCAAGTAACCTGCTTCATCCACGTAGCCACCCATCACAATCAGCCCAGCATAAGGCGGAGAAGGCCCCTTGTTGTAGGCCTCGGAGAGAAAAAGCTGCTGCCAAGGGGTAAAGACACTGATTGGGATGTGAATTAGCTCTCGGCATTAGTTTAGGTGTCCGGTCTTGCTCCATCATGGCGAAGAATCTACAGTATGTGAAGTCTTTCTAACCTGTCTTCAAGTCTCCATGGGTCCATGGTTCAGTTTGACAGTCTGGACACCTCCATGTGGTCATTAATAATGATATGTCATGGCCCGGCCCCTCCAATTCACTGCCAAACACGACCACTCGGGTTCCTGTTCATTCCCGAATTCACCACATGGAACCCTCCATTTGACGGTGTTCGGATTCTGAACTGGAAGTCGTGGTCCTGTTGAGCCCACGTGGACTGCGCAAAATCTTCCTCATCATGGTCTGTCCTACGTCCTCTCCTTGGATTGCAAGCCTTCCGTGGGATAGGGAATGGAAAGGGTCCTTCAGATTCTGCTTCCCTTACCTTTCCCGTATACGTAACAAATGCCTTCCAACACGTCAATCTTCCTCGTTCCTCGCAGTCCTCGCCTGGAAGAGCATGTTGGCGCAGGTCGACCCCAACGAGTGCCCGGAGAGCCACAAGTCCTGTCGAGACAGGTGAGAAACGAGCTGTCCTTTTGGACCTGGATATCTGGTTTAAAACAGGAGGGCAACCATCTTCTCACAGCAAGTGATTGTGTACAGCTGTCCATACCCCTCTCTTTTTTTATATCTTGGGTGTCTGCATCTCGAGGTAATTAATACACCTCCACTAGCCGGTCTAGACCGTTTTCTTCAGCTCTTCTCCCAACTTTTTTGAGGAAAGCCCCTAGTCTCTTGCGAGTGGAATCGAAGCTTCCCCACAAAATGCACCGCGCAAATTGGTACAACATGGTATATAATCTTTGGTGTGATGTCAAGTTTGGTGGCTTCAGGACATCTGGCATCTTACCACTTGGGAATCGGTGAGATGCTTGGTCAAATTTCCACATCACCAGGCATAGCCTTGAGGGTATGTGTACGTGTGCAAATGCGCCAGTCAGGATCCCCAAAAGCATTGTTGCAATGGCTTGCGTAAAACTGTTGGTCCAACCCTGCAACCCTTGACAAAGGGTCAAAAGATTTGGAGACAAACCCGAACCCACCGCTGCCCACCGCTCTCGACTTACGTCCTGGGGGTCTCGCTGCCAGCCAGCCCGAGCCGCCATGGACAAGGCGGTCTGACGGTGTTCGACGGTCGTTCCAGGAAAACTGTAAGGCCAGGAGCTACTAAGCTACTAGTAGCTTCTTGCTCCTTGTAGCGATGGCCTCCACCTAATAGCGTTGGAAAAATCTGAATGAAAACTGCTGACAAAGGTTCGAGGTCGAGCGGTTCTGAAGAGCGATGGGAAAAAAGACTCAGCTGGCAATTACTTGACTCAAGTAGTTGAGTCTTATAAACCAGCTGCTCAAATATGAAAAACTCAAGTGCTATGGTAAATATATAAATATTATAAATTATAAGCCTTGGCACTTCAGCCGCTCTCTTCAGCAAAGCTTACATTGAATATCATGGAATCAGATGAGGAGCCAGATGGGACTGGCTTTGCACTGAAAGTTTTGGAGAACAATAATCAGCAAGACTTCCGGGACCGGAGATCGGTGGTCATCCAAGAGGGGCAAAAGCATCTGTGGAACCTGAAATACCCTCACTGTCTGACGTCATTGGTGTGCATGGACTGTCAGCATGCCCCCTCAACTCACAGTGTTGCTCTTCTTCAACTGAAGATAAAATCAAGTCCAAACTCTTGGACATACTGGGGAAGATTTGGGCCTGAAAATTGTGCTCACCCAACCCATGTGCTGTGATTTTGAGACAAACAGGCACAGGAATTCTAGCGGACTTGGGAGGTTGCAGAGAAAAAATCCTCCTTAAGTGGTCTAAGAAATGGTGACACCTTTCGAGAAAACCACCCCAAACCACCGGTGAAAATGTCTTCACCTTAGCTGCCAGGCAAACAGTAATTATTCTTGAAACAATTGCGATCAACATATTTGCAGATGATTTGACTGGAAAACGGGACTTGGCTCAATCTACTTGTGCCCCCCAACCTTAGCTGCAGCCTCTAGAAGGGTTCTGGTTGACCCAACACGGAATAACATCCGCAGAACGTCTTTCGCCTCAAGACCCGGCTGGGCCGTCGGCCTCGACCGGAAGCGGCGTTCGTTCCGGAAGCGGCCTCGACCACGCCATGCAGTGGAGAGCAAAAGAACTTGCCAGGGCAGCTGATCATGCAAAGGTTTTGGAAGACACTGGGAATCACCTCAACCAATGGCCGCTGAAGCAACGCTGCTCGTGCCGCTGATCCGCAGGGTGTGTTGACAAAACTGGTCTCTGGGGTTGAAAAGGAGAGCGCTCTTAGCACATCTGAGCTCAAGAATGGTAGCCAGGTATAGCCAGGTTTGTTTGGCTCTCAATGTGTCAGGGTTCCTGAGCACGGAGTTTCACTACAGGGGCCCTACTTTATCACGTTCCACATCTCCCCTGAGGAGGTACTGGCTGGGGTCGGTGAGGAGAGGCAAACTGCTTTCTCTTGATCTCCTCCAAGTCTTGCTCTACAGGATCCTGCGCACCAGTCCGTATATGGAGGTTGACTTGGAGTGCACTTGCAAGTTATATAGATCCGTAAGGGATCTTGCTCCCGACCCCACGGATTTACTTCATGCACCATGTCTACCCCACACTGCTTGGTTCAATGGTCGACTTGGAAGGGTGGCATGTACCGTCTACCCCTACACTCCACATATCTTCACATGATCATGGCTATCCATGGGACTATCCATGGCGTGTTGGGATCTCTCTGGCCAAATCCATCCACCTTCGCGCTGGGCGTCCCGTGCGACCCAGAGATCGGAGCCTTTCTGTGCCATCGCCTCCTAAGAAAAGGCAGGCCAGCCGCGGAAGGAGTCCATGATTGACCTGGTTTAGTCTAAAATCCTCAGTTTACGGGATCATTGACTTAATGGTCTAAGATCCTTACTCTAAAATCCATAAGTAAAACAATGCAAAATGGTTGCTGACCCTTAAACCAAGTGTGGGCCAGGAAAGCTAGGGTAGAGGGTCACATTCAACCCACCACAGCATCTGCGGAGTGAAGTTGGGACCATGAGCACCCTTCTTGCGGAGGGGGATGCGCCCCTGAAGAGGGCCCTTACAAGTGGTCGAAAAAGCATCCGATGCCAGGTATGGTTTATGGTTTCTTGGATGCTTCTTTTGAGGCCCAACAAATCCCCACAAGCTGTTCAACCCCTCCATCTCTTCAACCCGATGGATGGGCTTCAACAGGCTCTCTTACCGCCCGCACCTGGATGGCCGCTCCCGTCGCCAGGTAGTGCTCGTTCGGCACCTTCCCTCCGGGGAGCATCACCTACGAGACGCGCGGACGAAAAGCAGTGTGGCCCCTCAGTGGCAATGGGTGCGTTCATAGTTCTGGACTTCCAAGTAGTGTGCAAACTCTCTCAACTTCGGGGCGGTCACATGATGCGTGTGGTGCTCCAACAAAGTGAAAATATAGAAAAATATAGAATCAATGTTAAACCTGCAAAACCAATTTTACAGATAATAGATACACATACTGTACAAAATGCACCAATCGCCTGGCCGTGACTTCACCTGGTTCATGTCCAAACACACACCAGAACCGGATCTGGCTTGGTCGCCCCAGGTGCTCGTGGTGATGCACCCAGTTGCTGGACGGTTGCCACTCGACTCATATCCACTCGAAATCCATCCAGGTTGCCAGCATCTTGCGGCTGGTGGCATCCTGCGGTGGGGGATCGCTCAAACGCTTTTCAGGCAGATCGACTTGGCATGTAGAGGAGGTGACTGTGTGCCTCCCAAACTGGAGGGATCAAGGTTCCTAGAAGAAAGTTCGTGCAGCACATCCTGGCAAGTCCAGTCATCAGTTCTATCCAAGAGGCTTCCGACAAACTCGTCAAGCCTGCCTACGAGTATGGGTTCAAAAGAAGAAGGTTTGCACTGAAATAGTTATACTCTTTGTGGGGAACATCATGCATCACCCTGAAGGGACTCCCTGCCCATTCATCTACTTGCCCTCTTCCCAGAAATCCTGTGAATACATAGTCATATTATGTCATATTTGGATATCCTTCAACATCCATCTGCAAAGTTACCAAATCATACTCAGCTCATCCCCGTCTCCATCCCAACCATCCGTTTCTTCGCCCGAACATCATCGCTGCGGTGCCTTGGGCAGCAGCACTTGGTGATCGCCCGCCGCGAGGACGAGCGCGAGCGCGGCGGCGATCAGCAGCTTCATGGCTTCCAAAGGTTTAGAAATCCTGCGGACGTGGACCTCTTGGGGGCGGAATAGATGTTGAAGATTGTTGAAGCATCCCATGGCAATCTGCGCAAGATGAAAGCGACTATGGTGACTATAGTGGCTGGTCACTGCGAGATTTGAAAGACTTGTAGTGCTTTGAAGCAAGTGCTGTGATGTAAGTGTGGGGGTGATGGTGAGGGCTATATATCTTTTGTTGGCTGCATCTGCCATGACAATGGCTGCTATGTGAAATTAATCAGCCAAACACAGCTGCAACAATTATTGACCATTCTACATACGGATACGTACATAATCCTCAGGCAGCATCGGTCCAACGACATGGCCTTGGTGTTTCAATGGTGGAAAGTCTTGCGTCCTCAACTGCACGTCCTCTTGGACGGGAGCATCAAAAAGCCTCATGGAACTTGTGTCTTGGATTCCAAAAAGATCATCTCTGTTTCCTCATGGAAACTGAGTCTCTTTCCCAACTTCAAGATCCAATTGCTATGGGGTTCACACGGGATTCACAGGAGTACGAGCTTTGACCCATTTCAGTGAGCTGATCTCCTGTTCTTTGGATAGTCAACAATCCCCCGAGGATGAACGCAGAAACTGGCGTGCCGCCCACCCACGGTCGGCCGTGCACCGATGGCCTTTGTTGCAAGTCCACCTCGATTCAGCCAGCGATGAAAGGGACAGAAGGATGAATGAGAAAGAGTTTCTGTAAGATCACGAGGCTGGATGTCCTCGACTCCTACTATATTATCTACGTCTATTCACTGGGTCACTTCAGAGTGTTGTCATGTCTGGCGGCCAGACTTAGCAAACAAAAAATTGTTCAAAGGCTAGACCAGCTAGAGAAAGTCTCCGTGCTGACCCTATTTGGGTCATAGATCCTTTGCCCAACTGAAAATGGTGGGGTGTGAGGCATCTCCAGGCCATGGGACCTTCACACAACCCTGTCGTGCCAACATGGAGACCAACTATGTGAGACCTTGAAAAGAGAAACAACAATATCAATACCAATTTCTGAATTTCGGGATGAGAGAAGGGAAGACCAGTGGCATGAAGACCAGGTTTGAATTCAGCCCATTCGACCTCTTGCCACTCGACCTCCAGCCCACAAGACTATGCCTCTGAATGGAGAACCCTCCAATGTACCACAGGAGATTGCGGTTTCAGCTCAAATCCAGGAGTATCCAGGAAATCTTATGTCTTGACTTGTGAAAGTCTTGTGCAATGGAGACCTGTCTACATGCCAAGGCACCCAAGGCAGGCAAATGTCATAACTCTGAAGGAAGTCTCGTGTGGCCTCCAGGGGCACTGTGAGGCCATGGCTCTTGGGGTTAGAGGCCATCGCTAGTAGGTTGGAGGCCATCGCTAGTAGGTTAGAGGCCATCGCCTCCAGAAGTCCTTTCTCGGTGTTGTTTGCATGTTCTTCTGTCGTCCACCCTCAAAGACGCTAGTGAGTGCCCACACTCAAAGCCTGGCAGGGAATCGTGCTCTTAACGGTCCCGTAAGCCTACTTCCGGGTGACATGCAAGGTCACCCCCCAATCTCTCCAATGACATTTGCCATAAAATACAAGACTACTCCGTTCTTTGAAAGCTCTCTAATTTTGGAACTCCAATAATTGAATCAGCTACTATCTCGCGTTTTGAACTGCTCGATTTCGTTCAAAACTATGTTAGCAGATTCCATATGAATCCATTTCGTGCCATGCCTGTGCAACACCTGTGTGAAAGCAGGCGCAATGGCGGCATCAGCGGAAACAATATGGATATACCATGGAAGTCCCCCTACACAGGGTTGCCACCCTCAGAATTCGGGAAATTTGCACATCATTTCACAATTCGGGAAATACCTCTACGAACGGTAAAAATCGTGTTGGACAAGAATTGTTGTCAGATTGCAAGATAAGAACTTTTTCTCATTGTACGAAGTAATTTCAACATATTCGGTGATCTAGGTAGTGACTATCTAGCCTCATCGTCAAATCTCCTCCCCGCAGACCCAGCTCCACGCAAACATAGAGGGACACGGAGGGAGCAACTACTTGGGCAACCTCAAAACTTGTGGTCTGATTATCCAACAAAGAACCTCCCTTTCCTTGCCCGATGTCCGAAGAAAAAAAAACGCGCGGTGCGCTTTTCCCATGTCTCCACCGCTGTCAACAAACACTCTACACCGCTACACCGAACGCTTCCTCGCCTTGGGCGGCCTCTGGGAAAGGAGTAACGAGGCCCCCCGGAGGGAGCCGTTGGCCTCCAGAAAGACCTGGCGCTTGCAGGGGACGGGGCAGCTGCTCTTGGGGTGGTTTCGGTGGTGGAGGGAACCTCCAAGTGAAATCCAAGAGATCTCAGAAGCATAGAAGTTTCAGTTCTGTGGAAGCACGTTTGCAAAGCTAAATTACATCAACATGGATGCTGACATTGGATTTTCGAAATAGACCAGTATATCTTACCTTCTCCATCATCTTCCACGAGTCTAGTCCAAAATGAACGAACAGCAATACCACCTCCTCGCCGGCCAGCGCGCGGATGGTGTGGTTTGGCAACACTGGGGGCACTGAGCCCACACCTGCCGCACACCAACAGAAATGTTCAACCCAGACGTGTTTCGGTTCGTTCCAAAAAGCAAAAACCACAGCTTTGTCCAAGCTCCACATCATTGGACGCTGCGGTCCCGCGACGATCCGCGACGATAGACGCATGTCTCGACCCGGATCGGCGCCTGCACACCTGCGACTCGGCACCTGCCGGCGGCCGCCGTCCAGGGTGCGGTGCCCGAGGGCAGCCCACAATCCGGGCAGTTCATGAGGGGATGGTTGGTCTGCTGGGTCTGTCAATACGGAAAATTGATAGACGTATCTTGGTGGGTGTGTGGCCAAACGCTTGAAGGCTCTCGAACTTGCCCTGGGGATCTCTGGCAGCATTTTGCAGCCATCGCACAGTCCTGCCTGCAGGTCCTCGGAAAACAGAAAAGGCGGCCTCATGCTCGGGACGCCACTGAAAAAGCAGAATAGTCAATAGTCAGAATTCCCAAGGTGTGTCTTTTGCTACATGTGACAGCCTGTGTCAAAGCTTTAAACATCTTCGAGAAAGAACACCCAAAGAAGAACACCTTTCAAGAAGAAGAAGAAGAAGAAGACGAAGACGAAGACGAAGAAGAAAAAGCAGCAGGAACAGCAGCAGCAGCATTGAACAGATTGAACAAATGGGCTGGGACACCACTCACCCAAACCTCTGGGCTCAGGTGCTGAGAAGATTTGGCGCAAACAGAACTCTGTCATACTCTGTCCATCTTTGCCAACACTTCCTGGTGAACTCACCTTCTCACGCATGAGTTGACAACTTGTCATACCGTCTTAAACGCTATCCAAACCCACTCCTAGAAATAGCAAAGTGATGCAAAGTGCCTAAACCCCAAAGGTCCCAAATTCTCGCTCACCCGGCCGCCGCGGGTCCCTGCGCCTCTCGTCCTCGGAGGCCTGGGCCGTGGCGTCCCGGACGCTCGTCGCCTGGCCGAAGCGCCGTGCCGCCGGGGCGAAGCGCCGTCGAGTTCGGCCACCACGAAGGTGGTCTCTCCAAGTTCCGTTGGAAGTCTGGGAAAATGGCGCAGTATCTATATAATCAATATAATTATCTGTATGTACATCAGTACCAGTATCTATCTATCAGTCTGTACAATTGATGAGTTCTTGTTATCATGTCAATGTTGCATAATCTTGCTGTATATAGAGGGCACGTGCTGTAGAGGTCCAGGCATCTCCAGAATTGATCCAACCCAAAGAGTCACCCCCATGGGGGTCAGCTACACCATGCGTTAACATGCGCAGACAGCACCTTCCGAAGAAAAAACAAGCATCCTGGCCTGTTGAGGCCGTAGTTTGTGACATTGGCTCCAGGCCAAGAAGCAGTCCAACAGCAGAAGCCGCTCGTCCTGCGCGTGTCGCAACGCAGGCGCCCAACGCACGCTCTGAGCGAGCGAAACGCCCGAGCGAAGACAGCTCGGAGAGGCCGAGGGCGACAAACAAAACAATGCAAAGGGGGAATGTTGATTTTGAGGTGAGGAAATCATACACCCCTCGACACCCTGTAATTGCCAAAAAACGGCCAGCAAACCCACTTGAAGAAAGTGACTGTTCTTGAGTGGAAGCGGAAGATCTGATGTACTCAGTGATGACCAAAAGCCGGGCACGCCCCTTTACTCAAGAACAATATGTAGTATCCTACTCTCATCCCAAAACACCCCTATAGCCCTTGAGAAATGTTGGCAAATGACGGTGGATATTCATCTCCCCGAAATGCTTCAGCGAGCTTTGAAACAATTTCCCTTGGAAGCACTAAGGACCTCGGTTCTCTCCGGTCCTTGACCCCCAAGGCCATGAAGGAGTTGAACATCAAATGCTGCTTTCGTGCCTCTCAGGCTGAGGAATGAATTGATTTGAGTCTCGACCGTCTCCCTTCTGCATATTCAGGCCGCCTAAGTTCTTTAATTTCTTGCTGTATTGGTCTTGGATGGCCTTTAGGCCTGGATCCATCTGTGGAATCTACATGTTCATCTTCAATCAAATGTCTTAGCCTGTCTGTTGTCTTCTAGCCGCTTGAAAAGTGCACGGCAAACCTGACCCCCGGAGACATCTTGTTGCGTTTAAGTCAAGTGTCACAGAACTCCAAAGTGTTTTTTAAGGGAGTCCTCAATCTTAATTCCAGTTGTGTCCAGTATCGAACCCAGGTCGAAAAGGCTGCAGAACGAGAGTTCGGCACAATTGAGACAATTGAGAAGGAAAATAGTTTGTGCCAGTTTCTGCTCCATTCTTCCTTGCAAAAATACAAAATTCCAGACTCTCATGACCCAGCAGCGCTACCTCTGCTCACGATGGTGGCGCAACATCCCCCCCCCTACCGCAGATGCGCCTGCTGTCGCACAGTCTGTGCCGCCTTCTCAGCAGCATCAGCAGCGCGGCGGGCCTGGTTTCGAGACCCAGGTCTTCTTCACACAGAACTGCAGGGGTGATTCCTATATTGAATATACTTCAAGCCAACAAACTTGTAAGGGTGCCAACATGGACTTTTGGTGCACCGTTGGGTTTCAATGCTTTGCTCAAACCAGACCAGTGTTGTTGATGGGGCATCCAGCGGTCTGCGGAGGTGCAGTCAATTTAACCGTGGATTCCGGCGATGGAATACTGCAACTCCTAGCAGGTGGCAATTGCTTGCAGCCGGACACCTTATCACGCTGCACTTCACAAGACCGTTTTCTGCACTTGGGCCGTCGGTCTTCAATGCTTGTTGTTCTTGTTATTGTTGTTCATCGCATCCTGCTCGCCATCTTCAGTCGTTGCAAAGAAGATTTCACTGCATAAGAATCCAAAAATCATCAAGCCGAACACAGATGCAATGAATGCAGCTTCAAAGACTATGACCACAAAGATTATAATCTGGGTTTCATCTGTTGTAGCCCAATGCGAGGTGCTAGCAATGATAAGGCTAGCCAAATTGATTGAAATCATTCCTGGGATCTAGGTCCAGAAAGAATATGTGTTGGAAAGAATTATTATCTGTTTAACACATGACTGATACTGACCTATGGCACAATATACATGAAAATACCAAAAGCGCCATCAGAAAGCCCAAGGCTCCAATGACAATCAAACAGATCTCCGACACATTCAGCCAAAAATGCTCGTAGGGCCGCAAAGCGGCATATGATAAGAGCGGGAATATCAAAATAATGCCAACAAAGGTCAATTGCAAGGCCGGGTACGCTGTAATTGGGAAGGCCGCTGCGACAGTCTTCAAAATCATTTTCCGCAACAATCTCCTCAGCTGCCAAAGTGTCCTTCTGCTGCGTATAGATTATGCTGCATGATGGATGAAACTTACTTGTTTCGAACCAAACTTGGAACAGACAACTCACATGAAAGGCAACCAAAATGACCATATCACAAAAAAGTGAAGGCTGTTCGCACAACTCCATCTGGGGTGAGGTCAGCCGTGGTAGTTCTTTGTTGGTTGAGGCATGTTGGTGAGGCATGGAGAAAGCTTCTCTCTTCCATTCAGACAACTCTGATGCACGACAATGACTCTTCAGCACAAGTTTCTCTGTCTCCATGTATTTGCATAATGGTTCCTTCGTCTTGTAGGGCATTCTCAAGTATGCCACATGTCTGGGCACACGACCTGCGCTTTGTGAAGACGTATCTTTTGTCCAAATAGTCACCACGAAGAGGAAACAAAGAAGAATCACTGCGCAAAACCACCTTGGCGAGTGCTTGACACATGTAAAACATCTTGCCTTTGCACCAAGAGTGCCTGCCATGTGTAGTTTTGGGGACACACCATGCAGAAAAGGGACATACTGCTCCAAACAGGCCATTGTCGCAAAGTGTCCGGCATAAATTCGAACCTATCAGGTGAATCAAGTGCACAGTCGAAACCGACAACATAGCCAAAAGATGCCAAAAGGGCTTATCAGATGCTTTAAGAGCCTGGAGTACTCAAATTACCCCAGGTAGTGGTGAAAAAAACACCGTGTTCTTCGACCCCTTGACGAACTGGATGGAGCAAGTTTTGAAACACGACGCCTGATATGTCAAAACCTCTGAGCCCTAGAAGCACGTGTCTGACAAGAATATCTGAAATAAACATAAACCAAAGGCGGGACTGAAACGAAAGCGAGCAATAGATGCGCATGGCTCCTAGCTGATTTTCGAAGCATGCGATGTATAAGCTCGTGAATACGTGCCCTGACTCAAGAACATGTTCTAAACTGCGCAAAGAGCCACAGGGTTGCACATATTAGAACGTCATCAAAGTCAACATGTGGTAGAGGTGGTCTTCACCTGTCTTTACGACAGGTGTGTGAATGGATAGTTATCAAGCATTGTATTTTGTTGCCCAAGCAGGGAACCACACTTTGGCGTTGGAGTTGGAGAGTTTCGATAACTGTTTGAGGAATTTTGTGGACAGCGTGCGAAACTAAACTTCGGGAGCACTCAACTCTCTTGGCTTCCTGCAGATTCACGCATGATGTAGACATGGTAGAGCCAGAAGACATCAAAAAAACAACTTGCCAAACTGCCGTTTCGGGTGATTGAAAACAAGCTTCACCGAACTGCCTACAGTATGCGCTGTCTGCCTGTCAAACCGTTGGCTGTCACATCGGGCATTCAATGATCAGACAAACTCTCTAAAGAATGCGACTCATCACCCCTCACATATGCACATGTACATCTCGCTGCAAAACGTGCACCCGTGCCAAGGCGTAACTTTGTCCCCAATTGCCGACAGCATTCACCACATAGCATCAACACCGAAGACCATGCGCTATGCACCGAAGCTCCGTGTCAAAAAATTAAACATCATGACTGAAGCATCAAGGTCGAGCGTTGATACAGTACTTGCCCTAGCCCCCCAGCCCTGCAAAAATATGGAAACCTAGGATAGCGCAGTACACTTTCGTTGCAGCAATGAACACTGCTTCGTTGCTTAAGATAGACTTACCCATTATAAGTTAGATCTTTGCTTGTGTTTCCTTCGGTTTCGTGAGTGGTTTCGCGTCATGTGATGTGAGCCTGGATAGATGATTCTGCTTGACCTGAGTAGTATTTGCCTGTGAAGTCGCCTCTAAAAGACATTGTCTTCAAAATTAAACAAACGTTTCACACACTAGTTCAGTCTGCAGGCAAACACAAATGCCACAAACCTGCTAAAGAAGCAAACACCGCTTTTCAGAAGAGTGCTAGAAACACCTACAAACATAACTCCTTGGGCCATTTGTTCTCAGAACTACAGTATATAACCTATTTCTCTCTAAAACAGTTCAGTTTCTTGACCTGTGTCTTGGCGAGCTACCGGGGCTCACCAAGCTCTTCCCTCTTCTCCGCGGCTGCTGGCATCAGCGACTTCGAGGCCGTCGTCTCAAGGATCTCTGTCCGGAAGAAAACCACCTTTGGCTCGGCTGGGTGGTGCTGTTTGTCACAGGTGCATAGAGGTGGTTTTGCAACAGCGGTATGCAGCTGACTTTGATCTTAAAGTTGCTTCTCAAGACTTTTCCCTAGCTTTGGTCTTCATATGTGACCAAACGAATGGCAAACTGAAGGTAGACAGTTCAGATCAGGCTTGCAAATATTGAGGCTGTTTGAACCCATAGCTGGACTATGGCTACTTCGTAACTGGAACGAGCTGCAGCAAGCGTGCTTAGTATCTTCCTCTAGAGAGACCCGCTTCTTCAAACACCCACTCCATAATAGCCGTGCAAGTGACATATTTGGCAAAGTTGGCACAAAAAGCTGGCAAAAAGCCTTGGTCTGCACTTCTGCCCTCACGAAACGAGAAAAACACGCTACCACTTCGCTGAATTTGACCTGATTTGAAAACTTAGCAACAGTTGCTGCCCACAATGAGGGCCAGGAAGGGGTCATCATGAGCAAATGCCGCGATCGTGATCAGTGTGACTGGGACCACGGAGGCGAGCACCTTTAACTTGCGATCGACCAAAGCCAAACCCGGACTTCAAAACTGAATTTGGGATGACTTTGTCTGATCAGCACCACCCACCCAAACACATTCATTTGAGGAAAACCTTGCTGAATTTTTGCCACGTTGCATGCGCTGTCCACATTTCAGGCGGCAAATGAAGGTATGTGAGCAGGCATTGCGTTGACATGCTCCCTGAGGATTCGCCAGGGCTCCACTGGAACTCCAGAAGGAAGCGCTGCCTGCAGCGGGTTCCATACAGCAGGCGTTCTAACAGTGGAGGGACTAAGAGCAAAAATGAGCGGCCTGAAAAGGTGTGCTGTTGGCTAAATGTGTGCTGTGCCAAATTTCCCAGCGTCCTTCATTGTTGGTTGTGTGGCGCAGCCATCATGCAAGCTGCAGCGTATCCACAGTTTACATTAGAAGATGTCAAGCAAATATCATTGTGATCTAAGGAACAGCAAACACGCCAAGCTGCAACAAATCTGAGACAACCTCACCGACATATTCCTTCACATCTTGTGCTGCTTTGGTGTTCAACGATGCCACAGCTGCAATATTTGCCACTGTCCCAAAGGCCAGAAGCTGATTCAGAAGTATACTGCTGATTTTGGCAGCCTGAGATGAACCAGGGCCCAATACTGCAAGATGGTGCAGTATCCGCGGGGCCCGAAAGCCTAAAGAAGCATATTAACAATATAGTCTTCAAAAGTCATTCAAAGCGAGTTTCTAGAATGAAAGGATGTTTAGACTCTTGCTCAGCCAGGCATCCCTTGGTTTGAAGTTCTCATCCACCGCTTGACGGCCACCGCGATAGGCAATCAAGAAAATACTTATGTCCCTCAAAATCGCATAGGCTAACCTCAGTTGATCAGCAGCTGTGTGAGTATATGGACTTGGAAATACTTGAAGGAACAGGGAATGTCTCAAATTCATCCTCTGGCCAACAGTTTATGCAGCATTCCCTTCTTCGCACATAGCCAAAGTAGCTCAAACCAGCTAAGTAGGTTTGGCTGGCTCGATGGCTGTAGCTAAACACCTGTAAACACCTGGATCATAGCCGATGCCTTCAGCCATTGTACCCCACTTTTAAAGCAAGTAGTGACTAGTGCCGGGAAAATTATTTTATCCAAATGATTTGATTCAATGTTGCTTGTATCTTCCTGCACTAGAAACCTCCAAATGATACTATTCATTGTAAATAGTATCCTCCTGCAGATTATTCAAGGTTGTTTCTTCTTTCCGAAAGCGGAGTGCAACCAATTGTGCAGCCTAGACCGAGTGACTGTACACAGGAAAGACAACGTTCAAGAAATATCACAATTTACAAAACATCCAAAGAGTTGTAGCTGCTGCGATTAGCTGCACATTTTGGATCTCCAAGGACTGAAAGAATGTACATTACATTCTACTTGCACAGTTCAACAGCCATGCCATCATGGCTGCAAATAGGGCAGAAGCAGCATGAAGCAGCTATGTTGAGCAAAGAAACTGAATAGTAGATAATAGTAGTATATAATTAAGACAAGCAGCTGTAAGGTCTGCCTGGTGACACTTGTAGCACACCTGGTGCAGGACAAAGCATCTGCATCTGCAGCTCCGTGCGTGGATCTATTGCATAGCAAGCAACCATCGTGAACATGTCCAGTTCTGCACATTGCCATACCATTCTCCAATCGTGGCACTTGACCACCGGGACACGCATGTGGATTCGGGCAATGATGTATGCGCAAACTGTTGTTGATGATGTTGTCCACCTCTGGACTCATATAGCCCTCTTTCAAGATAATCCGACCTGGCTCGCAGGTGGCAACTGCATCAGGGCAAAGAGCGCATGGTTGAGTGGTTCGCTCTATCAACTGCATGTGAGAAGGCATGCAAGGTAGGCAGCTCTTCTCTGAATCTGCTCTCTGACCACTGCCAAATTTATTCACCAGCCCTGTCCCACGGGCACACCATAGGTTGACTGTCACTCTGTTGCTTCCAGTGGCGACCCACAGGCAACGCCCTGTAGCATTTCCGCAATCCACAGATTCCTCCACAATGATGCCTTTTGTTGCCTTCGCTTTAAAGAGCGCCTTACTCTGGTGGTTCATGATCTGCATGTGGCGAATATCCAACTTTCCCGCGACGTACAGCAACGAACCTGAACCATAGACATCCCACATAAGGAGACTGTTGAGGAAGACATCTGCCTCAATATTCATCGCAGGTCTTTCTCTGGCGGAGCACTCTTGGAAATCAAGCGTTCCATCCTACGGCAAGCTACAGTAACAGGTACAGTGTGTTTTATGTTTCTGTTTTATGTTTGTTCCACGACATGGCTAATTCTGGGGAGCGTCTGCCTGTGGTGCAATTTCGGAGCCACAAAGTGCCTGTATCTTGAGCCAAGGAAGACTTTGACAAGAAAATGCCACCACCAAAGCCTTGAGAGGTACAGTGCTCGAAGCGTATTCTTCCTTCCAGTTGTCTCGCCAATGAAGCAGCACCATGCATGCCACCTCCATTCCGTGTGGCTGCGCAGCTGGCAAACCTTGTACGTACTGAACGAATAACTAAGCTAACAAGAAAACACAAAATAAAGAAAAACTCAAGCCCATAACAAGAGGGCGACATGAGAAAACAAAAGGTCGGGAAGCGCGGGCAGGCTGCTCCGAAACCAATCACAGTGTTGGTATGTGTTCAAAGCTTGTGAACACGCAAGTTTTCAACTTGTCTAAGTGCCAGGCTCTTTTTGCTACAAATAATGACGTTATGTTAGTCATGCAGCAGGTGAAGTGGAACGGTTTCAAGGTTTCAGCAATGGTAACACAATGTAAAACAGTAGTAGGTTCTCAAAGTCTGTGAAGTGCCTGTGCTAGTGAAGCAGTGCCCCCGCACTGCTAGTCAAAAGATACTTGGCGACTCGTCATTACGTGGAGGGATGTCACAGTCACTGCTGCTGAAGTGTCACGCTCCCTGTGGTAGGTCGTTCCCCGTGTTGCAGAGAGGGGTTCTTGCTACTGGTGCTGAAGTAATTTTCATCGATCATGAAACGGTACGCTGGCAAAATGGCACCTTCTCACCGGTGGTGAAGTTTGATGTGAAGTGGCAGGTTCTTGGGCAAATAGTTCTCTGCGAGAACCAAAAATAAAGGACAAAGTGGGGCATGTTCTCTTCCAGAAGCTAAGTGCTCGCCAGGCTCACCACTTCTGACATATCTCAAGTAGTAGCCGCTACTGCTTGTGATGTGATAAAATGTGTCCAAACGATATGCGCTTGATAGCACGCCTAAAAACTGAACATTGACACAACATGTCACACGGTTCTTGTGCTCAAAGAAATGGAACTTGAAACCACGCGACGCCTGAGGCAGATCCAGCAGGAGGCTATTGACGGACCAAATGGTAGCAGAAGCCAGAATAATTGCAATCATCCATCAATATGTAGAGGTGTGGGGACTGTGATTGAATCCAAACTTTTGCTTCACAAAACAACTCAAGGTATACCCTTTTGCAAGCTACGCAGCTGCTACCACCTTTCGCGACCAGCAAATTGAGCGGGCAATATCAACAAATACGTAGGACGTACTACAAACAAGGACCAACGACGAACAACAAACGACGCAACAAAAATACAAGATCAAAGAGTCGCCAACAGCGAAACGATCCAACACGACCCGGCCCTTGCAATCCAGAAACGTCATCAGTCCATAGGCTTGGACAATTTGACCAGATTTGAGGGAAACCCCTCCACCATCCTTGGCACGGCACCTCTCAAATTTAACTGTGCCATGGGAAGTAAGGTTTGAGCGTTTTAGTAGCATGCCACCTCCTCTAGTTTCTGCTGCACAGTCAGTGAATTCAAGCTTGCCATATACATGCAGGTCCCCTTCCTCCAGGAACAAGCCGCCACCGCCTTCTTCAGTCCAGTCCGTCGTTGTGGCAGGAAAAGACTTACATTTTGTAAACCTCATCAAACTCTCAAGTCCCACAAGCAGTCTTGCTCTTCCGTTGAAGCTGGAGCCGGTGATATGTATGCCACCACCTTCACTGGCATGGCATTCATCAAATTGTAGAATGCCGCCCTTCTGCTGGATGATGCTTCCTCCTTCTTGTACCAAAAGCCCACCTCCAAACCGGCAAGCTGTGCAACTAACGAAGGAAATCGTCCCAAACTGCTGATGAAACTCACCATCGACCAACACACCGCCACCTTCATTGGACTTGCACCTGCTCAGCTTCAGGACACCACGGAACTGGAAAACTTTGCCTCTGACATGCAGGCCACCACCCGAGGATGAGGCCTCACAATCATGGAATTGGAGGAACCCACCCTTCTGTTGGAAGTTGCCCCGATGGACTGAAAGTCCACCCCCAATACCGGCAGCGTAGCAGTTTGCAAAAGATATATTTCCGCCATTCTGATAGAATTCCCCGGCTTCGACCTGAACACCACCTCCGCCAGGAAGAGTGAAGTTATCGATGCCATGACCACGCCACGCATTTGAATAAGAGGTCTTTCCCATGGACTTGCATGTGTGAAACTCTACACTTCCGCTGAACTGGGATACCCTGCCGTGGAGATACATCCCACCACCTGATCTCTTCGCTGCGCAATCATGAAATTGTAGCAAGCCACCATTCTGTTTGACGCTTCCTTCCATAACCCCAAGCCCACCTCCATCACCAGTAGTGTAACAACTGGCAAAAGAGATGATTCCCCCATGCTGCTTCATTTCACCTGACTGCAGCCACACACCACCCCCGCCAAACGGATCTTTCGATTCCATGTGAATTTCATAGTGATCGCCTTTCCGACCAAAACGAGATTTGAAGCCCTCTGAGTCACAAAAGCTAACAAAAGAGCCTGATCGTGTGCCGTGCTCTGACGTCGGGCCACCAAAGCTAAACTGAGAGCTTGAATCTGC